CTATGTTAAAAGACTGGTGTCAAATTTTTATAATTGCAAAATAGCATTTGTTTTTTACGCCTTACTAAGTGCCTCCATCTTCAAGAAAAAAAAAGTGAAAATAAACATGGAAAATTCGAATCTGACTATCTGATGTCTGGCAAAGTTCTGAGTAACTGAAAACAGACTTGTGATGGAAAATATCGAGTAACCTTAGCCATAGGTGTCAGTACCAAGTATGTGATGTTTTTTAAAGCAAACAAACCAGCGAAGCACAGGGAGATAGAGATCAGCCGTTCTGATTTCCAGGGGGCTGATCAACCCCCAATCTTCTCTGTCTCTCCCCCGCCTCAGCTGTGTGCCGCCTGCTGCACCGTGCACGGCTGGCTGACACGGTGCGGCCACGCCGCTCTCCCTGCCCCCTCCTTCTCCTGGCAAAACAGGAGACGAGGCTCATGACGAGTGCTGAGCGAAGTCTGAAATGCTCTTCCCCTAACGGGAAGTAGATGCAGAGTCACGCTGGCACACGGGCAGCCCTCACCTAGGTGGCTGTTAGAGAGAGACTCGATCCTCCATTGACAGTAAGATGTTCTCAAAAAAAGGAGCACATGTTCTTGACCTTATTCTGGTTGTATGCTCCAAAATCCTCTGTGTGCAAGGCTCTTTCTGCCTCTTGTTCCAGTGGCATTTGTCTGCTGCAGGAGCAGCTCCTTGGACATGACAGGAAAGGCTGTCTTTTCTCCACAAAACGAGGAGACTTGCCTGTGTCATTTTCTGCCATGTCTGGCACCAAAGTAAAGACACTTCCGTTGGGCTAAAGAAGTAAGCTCATGCTTTCTTTGAAAAAAACCTCACTCAAACTGCATAAGAAAAAAAAAATAGAAGGTGGGTGCATGATGAAGACAACAATGAAAATTGGTCATTTAGATTTCCTCAGCTTGCTATGGAGACTTGTAGAAAGCTGGGAGTGGAGAAGTGTATCCTGGACAGAGGAAAAAGATTTTGTAGTGTTGGGGGAGACTTGCAGAATCCAGAACAGTTATTTTGGCTAGTGCTGGGGCTAGAGAATTCTGACAAGACAGTTTAAAATGGGGGCAGGGGGACTTGGGTGTTGAAGAGACACAGACTTTGGGACAATAACTGGATATTGAGTGAAAATTTGAACCATTTTCTTGCTAATTCCAAAGTAAAAATTACCTATCTCAGAGTTTGATACCCCCTCTCAGCTCAAGAAAATTATCTAGGGCAAAATTCTCTGCTTTACCAAAGAAAAAAACAAAAGGGCAAGGCTTCTCAGAAATCCTGGGATCTTCAGGGTTCCTTTGCAGAAATGGTAAAACCTTAGCTCAGTCATGGCAAGCCTCAGTACCATCGGGAGAGCCTACAGGGCTGCTGAATGGCAAACACCAGGAGTAAGTCCATCCACATTAGTTACAAAGAGTCAAAAGTGGGTTAAAGGCAGAGCTGAAATGTAGCTGCAGCCTTTGCAGAGCACCATCACGTTCACAGGTACATCGGAGGCTACCAGTTTTATGCAGACACTGAAAGATATTTTTCATGTTACCGGTTGTATGTAACCTGACAGAACAGATATTACAGATTGGCTGGAGCAACCCTCAGTCCGGGAAAGAGCGAAAATGAGGAGAGCAGAAGTATGGCTGTGTCCCAGCCCACAAATGAAGCAATACAGTGGCAGCATTGCAGTGCCCAGCGTCTAAACCCATACCCATCAGCCCCTCTGTATTGTTACGGAACGCAAGAGGAGCTGACAAAAAATAGCCTGAAAGACCATAAACCGATCTTTCAGATCACATTGTCTGCAGCACCAGCATGTCAGGCTTGTAGTCTGTTATCTGTGTCCCACATACGAACGGCCCATGCTAGGCTGGAGAGTCTCCCCTCTTCCCGAAATGCTCTGGAGTTCCTTCCTCCCACCCTCGCGTCCCACCCTGGGCAACACTGAAACACACAGGACAGAGGTTTCCAGCCTGAGTTCCAGGGTGAAACAATGTCAAAAGCTTTGTTCTTCTTGTTACCTTGGGGAAATATGTTTAAAAGTGAACATAAATTAAAAGTGAAAGTGAGAAAGGGCTGTGGGCTTGATAAAAGCCTGGTCAGGAACAGCTGCCCATGAGGTGGAGGAAGATGGGGCAGGATTCTCTGGGGTCCCACGCGGGGACCTGAACCCTGACTAACTTGGACCATGCACAAAACTGCAGGAATTACTTAGAGGTCACCCCGGCATGTTGCTGTGGGAGTACAGAGTCCACTTCACCCAACTGTTCTTGGAAGCAGAGCTGGTCAGGGGTGTGTGGAAGGTCCTCTGGCCAGTTTGGGTTTCCCAACACGGGTGCAGCACCAAAGCAAGATGTTGCCGATGTTTTCCCTATGGGAAGTGTGCAGTGGGCTTGTTCAGAGTGTTGACACCCATCAGCACAGGTAGGGAAGATTGTATTACACAGATCTTGCCGTAATTGTTTCCAAGCCAAGCGCTGTAAGCTCAAAAGATTCAATTAAACTGAGTAAGTTATTGAACCAGAGTAATGTATAGAAACTTTTAAGTTTAAAGCAGCCAAATAACTGGAAATCTATCTCATGGAAGTCTATCCTTTCCTCATCAATGGAAAATAGAAATATATATATTTTTAATCCATTTAATTTACTTGGCTCTCACAAACTGAAAACACCTTAATCATAATAATGTATATCCCATATGGAATTATTGTTTGAGGGAAAACTAAGATTTCTGCTAAGAAACTTCAAGTTACAAAGGGAAAAATGAGTTGGAGCTGAGGTGGGGAACCTTGGGCACATTAATGATAAAAATGCGTTCATTTGTGAGGCAGAGAAAGATTTCAGGGAGGTGGTGGCTCATGGGGAAGCTTCATGCCTTAGCATCAGAGGCATCAGGGCACACATTGCCTAAGCAGTAGGAAGCAGCCTTCTTCAGACCATAACCGTGCTGGCAGGAGCATTGGGAATCACCTGCAGAGAGAGCCCCAGCAGCTAAACTCCCTTTGCAGGATCTTCATCTGCATCACACCTCTCCCCTTGGAGCCAAGCCACTGGGGGGAAGAGGCAAGTATGGAGTTGGTGCTGGGCTGCTCAGCTCGGGAATTCGGTGTGGCTGTCTGCCTGGCTCCTGTTAGGAGGGGTTTGTGGAGCACGCACAAGAGGGAATGAGAAGTCCTGCAGAGTTCCATGTGAGTTTGGTGGAGGTGTCATCCACCACGTGTTTTTGTAACGCTGGATGGTCTGCTTGATCCATGCAAAGGATGGACAGTATCTGTGGAAGAACAGTGTGCTCTTTCCTACCACTTTTCCTGCATGGAGCCGAGATCAATGACAGCGTCATTGTCATGTGGGCAAAGGTATGGACAGGGACAGTACAGGTGCATGCTGCTGATGGCTGGAGAAGTTGGGGGGATTTTTATATGTGCAGGAACATGGATTACACAACAGCCTGTTGGCATGTATTGGTCCAGTCTTTGCTGGCAAGGTGGGAACGAGGGCACGGGAAGTGCAACTCATGCTGCAGACTGGCTGCATGCACCACCAGGCGTGGGACCGCGGAGGCAACGCGTTGATACCCACACATTTACTGGGAGAGATGGACAGGACTTTGCCTCTTTGTTGAGATTAATAGTGTTATGAAAATGCTCAACAGAGGATAAGGCAGCATTATGGGATGTGATTCTGTTTAATGGGAAATTAATGACACAGTTGCATGTGCATAATTGGAGTATACTTATACCCACGGACCGTTCCCGTCAGTGTAAATCGATGATGAGTTTCCTGGTGGAGGCTTCAGCAGGGAGCAGGGCGCTGGGTGACAGGGAGGAATGGAGTACATGGACACGCCGTGTATCACAGAATCAGTCAGGTTGGAAAAGACCTCTGAGATCATCAAGTCCAACCTTTGACCGGACACCACCATGGCGCTAAGCGCCACATCCAGCCTTTCCTTAAACAGCTCTGGGGATGGTGACTCCACCATTTCCCTGGCAGTCCATTCCAATGCCCGATCACCCTTTCCACGAAGAAACTCCTCCTGATGCCCAACCTAAGCCTCCCCTGGCACTGCTTGAGACTCCATGCTCTGGTCCAGTCTCTGGGAGAACGCGTATCTCTGGGCTGGGTAGATCTGCAGGTACCGGCAACCAGGGAGCCTCGAGGTGCAGGGGAGGCACCGAAGCCACTGCGGGCTGCCCGCACGCGGGGCGGTGGCGGTGACCGCTCCGGGCACCGACAGCCTCGGCGGGGCGTGCGGGATGGGGCACGGCAGGACGGGGCAGGGAAGCCAGCGGGGCGCTCAGCCCCGAGGTCGGGGGCGGTCGGCGGTGGGAGGGCGGTGCCCGGAGCTGTGCCCGGGGCCGGTGGCGGCGCGCAGGAGGCCGCGCGGTGCAGGGGCCGGGGGCCGGTGCGGGCCCGGGCGGGGGGCGGCGGGGCCCGCGGCCGCGGCTATTATGGGATGCCGGGCTGGACGGTGGCTCCCGGCGACTATTATGGGATGCCTGCCTGGGCGCGAGGCGGGGGGGGAGGTGTGACTATTATGGGATGTGCGCGCTCGGGGTGTGACTATTATGGGATGTGCGCGCTCGGGGTGTGACTATTATGGGATGTGCGCGCTCGGGGTGTGACTATTATGGGATGTTCGGGGGGGGGTCCCTCACAGCGCGCCCTGCCCCCCCCCTCCCCTCCAAGGCGCGCGCTCCCCGCGGGAGGGGGCCGTGCCTATTATGGGATGGCAGCCCCGTGCGGGAGGCGCGCGGGGGGGGGCGCCCTGCCCCGGCGCGCGGGGTCCCGCGCGGGGCGGGGGGCACTATTATGGGATGTCCCCGGTGGGGGTCAGTATTATGGGATGGCGGAGCGAAGGGGTGCGAGCGCGCGCGGGGGAGCATTATGGGATGTTGTTCCTCGGGGTGAAGGTGCGGGCGGGGNNNAGATGGGGGCGGGGCCTGTTGCCGGGGTCCCGGGGCATATTATGGGATGTAGGCGGGAGGGGGCGGGGCCTAGCCGGGTTTTTTTCCCCTTTAAGAGGCGGTGCCGCGGCCGGAGCCATTTTCCCTTCAGCGGCGGCAGCGGCGAGAGAGGAGCCGGGGTCCGGAGCCGGGTGAGGAGCCGGGAGGGAACCGAGGGCGGGCGAGGCCATCCGCCGCCTCCTGGGGCGTCCGGGCCGGCAGACGCGTCTCGCCGCCGGGCGCCCCTTCGGCTCCGGCCGCCGCTCCTGCGGGGACGCGCCGTCCCCTGCCCGGGCGGCCGCAGGACGGGTCCGGCCCCTCCTCCCCCGCCCCGCAACCGCCCGCCCGGCCTTTTGTGTGCGGCCGGGCAGGGGCTGGGCCAGCGCTGCAGTGCCAGCCCGGGGCGGGCTGGGGCTGCTGGCCAGGGCACCGCGCTGACAGCCGGCCCCTGGCCCTGGGGCTCCCCTGGCAGCCCGGCTGCCTCGCTTGCCTCGCTGCCTTCTCCCGGCCCAAGGCAGAAATAACCGAGGGCACCGGGCTGCAGAGGACGGGAGTTTTCCTTTAGGACAGCTGTTTTGGCTTCCTCGCCAGCGACGAGTTGCTGACTCAGTTTAATATCTAGTATCTCCAAAGCGTGCTTTATCGCAACTCCGAGCTGATACTTGCTGCCAGTGGTTCTATTATCCTTAGGCTCCAGAGCCAGTAAAGTTGCTGCCTAAGCTTTCTCACAGATCCTCTTAGTAGCACTATTGCTTGGGAGAACGGAGTTCAGGTCTGCTGTAACTTTCTCGTTTTCTTTTCAATGAAGTACTGGCCAGACTGGCAAGAAGACGACAGACAACCTGTGTAAGCCCAGGCCTCCCCCAGCGTGGAGGACATGGCTTCGGGCATTGGATCTCCATCACCGTGCTCAGGGGGCAGTGATGATGATGACATGGAGATCCTGTTGAACAACGCTATCCCCCAGCATCCAGGTACGGGGAGCCTGCAGGGCATGCAAGTGCAGTGGCCATCATGTTGGTCTCGAGCTGAATATGTGAAATGCATGGTGTGTTGGGGAATGTTGTTTTGTTGGGGTTTTTTTTGCTGCAAGTCACATGTATGTTTCTGATATCCGAGTCCCAGGGTTACTTTGAAGTGAGAGGCTCCAGGCTTTGTGTCAGGTGGAGCTGACTTTGTTCCAAGCCATTGCAGGTTGTCAGGGCCTGAGCTTGCAGGAGGTGTAGAGGGTGGAGGCAGAGCGCCCAATTCTGACAGGGTACCGAAATGAGTTTCAATTTTCATGAATGGGGAGGGGGAAGAGGAGGTAGTATGTGAAAGGGCAGGTTGCCTGGCTTGCTTTCATCTGGGAACTAAGACCGGCTGACGTCCAAACTGCCCTGGGCTGTTGCGTGACCCACTTTCCTTCATCACCACACCCAATTATTGAGGATTCTTACTCTGTGCTGCTTGCTCACCTTTGCTTTTTTTTTAGTCCTTGTGTCTTGCTTTTCCCCTTGTATTTGCATCCTCATTGTCAACATGAGACTTGAGTTAGAGCCTTGGGATTTCTTCTGGTTTGCTTTTTTTTGTTGTTGTTGCTGCTGCTGATGACCTCTGTGGACATGCATCGGGGTTCTTCACTTCCTTGTGAAAAAGGAGTGATGTATATAGTCAATTGTAGGACAGGTGTGGGATTTCCTACTAACTTGTGCTGGAGGATTGTCTCATATATGAGAAATGTACCTGGAGGAGGGAAGATGGTGTTGTGGAGTTTAGGATTTTTGTTCGTTTGGCATTTTTTTCTTAAGCCTTGTCTCTGGAGTTTTCTGGCACCTCTGAGATCTTGGGCAGTATGGGACTATCAGTAATGAAAATCTATTTGCAAAAAAAAAAAGGTAAAATTACTGCAAAATTGAGAGGTTTAGGTGGTACCTTGGAAAGGGTGAGTCATTAGAGGCTCTAAATCAGAACTTGGGGGAGAAGATGTATGATCCTTGAAGGACCTGGTGTTGCAGCACCATGGGAGCAAAGAGACATCCATTGGTTGGGAATATGGCAGGGACCAGGTATGGGACTCCAGGCTCTGAGACCTCTGTCTGTGCTGTTTCAAGCGCAGCTGCAGTAGCTCCTCTGACCTGTGGCTTCCTCCATGCTGCCCAGCCCGGGTGGTCAGGAGGCCATTTTCCCTTGGAGGGAGAAGGAGTGACTCTGGCAGTGTGCGGTGGGCGGGGCGGCGGGGAGGGCGGGTGGCCGCGCTGCTCCCGCAGCCTGCCACAAAGAGAAGGAAGGGCTGTCTGGCTGCCTCTGCCCCCTCGGGCCAAGGGCAGCCAGGAACGGGGGCACGCAGATGGAAGTGCGCGCTGGTGCTGGGGAACTGGCGTGTGTGCTGGCCAGGCAGTCAGCTTGCTAGCTGCTGGGGCTGGGGAAGGTTCTGTCTAATCTGGATCAGAATAGAGTTGCTGAGTAACAACTTTCCTATGGAGGAGGAAAAGTAGTGCCTTACTGGCCTGTATTTTGCATGCAGCTGTAGGATGTTCTGTACTGCTGAAGAGCCTTACATGTCTTTTTTTTTTTCCCCTGGAGAGCCATGGACTGAAACAGTATCCTCCTCAGGTTCTCAAATGAATTCACTGTTTTGCCCCTTCTAGATGTGGCCATTTGTTTTATGCTCTTTCCTCTTCTTGTTGGGTTGCAGCAAACTTCTTGTCCCCAAGTTCCGAGTGCACTTTTGCTTGGAGAAGCAAGATTGTGGGAATAGGTAGTGTTGGGAGGGGGGATAAGCCATGTTGGTGGTGCCTTAGGATACAGTTTTTGAGTATCTATTGTGAACAGTAAGAGTTGTAACCACCTCTGTAAGTATGTAGCAAGAAGCAGACAAGTTGATCCCTGTGAAGGGGGGCTATACTGTACTAGGCAGAGGGGGGTTGAATGCGACATGTTGCCTCTTCACATCCAGAACCTGAAGAAGAGCCAGAAGAAGAGCTTCTGTCAGAGGCTGACACTCCCAAAATCAAGAAGAAGAAGAAGCCCAAGAAACTGAAGGAACCCAAAGTTCCCAAGCTCAGCAAGCGTCAGAAGAAGGAGGTGAGAAAAAGGATGCCTAAGGTCACACTCTAAAATATGGATCTGTAGGGTGAGGGTGCTTATTGTTGTTGTTGGCTGATAGCAGCAATCTTTTGAATGAATCCGGTAGAGTGTGGGGAGAGAACAGTGTTTAGTGTTTATCCAGGGTGTTTTTCATGCCTGATCTCTCTCTCCCTCCCCAGCTGGGGGACAGCTCTGGTGAGGGGAATGAGTTTGTGGAGGAAGAAGAAGAGGTTCTGCGCTCTGACAGTGAGGGCAGTGATTATACCCCTGGGAAGAAGAAAAAGAAGAAATTAGGACCCAAGAAGGAAAAGAAAAACAAAGCCAAGCGCAAGGAGGAGGAGGAAGAGGAGGAAGAAGATGATGACTCAAAGGTAACAAGCTACTCTGCCGACTGCTTGCTTCTCATTCCCATGTTGTATCTGATAGGGGGGATCACTGTGCTCTCCCTTGGTGATTGCACAGGGAGTTGGGACTGTGTAGTCTCTTCTTCCACTAGACCCTCTTGACTTCCTTTTTTTTCCACCTTGCATTCTTCCCTCTCTACTACTTTAAGCACACATGGAATTGATATTGAATCCAAATACTTTTCCCATTTCCACTGATCTGCTGTTGCTGCTGTGTCCTATGGTAGTGATAAGTGGATGCAGGGGAAAAGAGTTCCCTGGGTGATCTATGGAATGTGGAAGATGTGTGGAAGCTCTGCTCAGAGTTGCCATGATTCTCTCTTCGTAGGAGCCGAAGTCATCTGCTCAGCTGCTGGAAGATTGGGGCATGGAGGATATTGATCACATCTTCACAGAGGAGGATTACCGCACACTCACCAACTACAAAGCTTTCAGCCAGTTTGTTAGGTGAGCTGCAAGCCTGCACTTGAAATTACTTGGGAACAAAAAAAAGAGATGGGACAAAAACTAGATTCCTTGATTTTGGGACCTAAGGCACACTTGTGTAGTACCTAGAGTAAAAACTGAAGCAACAGTAAAATAACTGATCCCTAGCTTTTTTGCTTTCAGTCATCAAGATGGTGCAAGTTCTTCCAGTCCCCTTTCTTCCCTACTACACTAAATTCCATTTTTTTGCCCGTAAACATTTCGATCTTTCACATAGTGAAGGATGAGAGTGGGGAGATTCATTGGCTGTTGAGATCAGAGATTAGAAAGGAATTTAGTTTGAGATAAAGTTGCTGATGGGGGTGGCAGTGGGCAGGAATAATCTAGATTTCAGGGTGGTTCAGTAACCTTTTCTTCATTCCTTAACTGTACACAGGCCACTTATTGCAGCCAAGAACCCTAAAATAGCAGTGTCGAAGATGATGATGGTACTGGGAGCCAAATGGAGGGAGTTCAGCACCAACAACCCCTTCAAGGGAAGTTCAGGTGCATCTGTGGCAGCTGCTGCAGCTGCAGCTGTTGCAGTAGTCGAGAGTATGGTGACAAACGTGGATGCTGTCCTGCCACAGCCCCCCGTAGATGTGCCACTCAGGAAAGCCAAGACAAAGGAGGGCAAAGGTGAGACGAAGAGTCTGGCAGGAGGATAAAACGTGAGTGCTGTCAAGGCCGTAGCCCTTCTGACTCTGCCTCCTGTGTTCCCAGGACCCAATGCCCGGCGGAAGCCAAAGGCCAGTCCTCGTATTCCTGATATCAAGAAACCTAAAACAAAGAAGGTGGCACCACTGAAAATCAAACTGGGAGGATTTGGTTCCAAGCGTAAAAGATCATCAGTAAGTGATGCTCCTTTCTTGACCTTGTGAGGAGGAGGTCATGATGTGATAGTAATCCTGGGGGTGTGTCTGATTGCTGCTGCCCAGCATGTGTGTCTGAGTAACAAAGCTTTTCTCTTACCCACCTCAGAGTGAAGATGATGATCTGGATGTGGAGTCAGACTTTGATGATGCCAGCATCAACAGCTACTCTGTGTCAGATGGATCTACAAGCCGTAGTAGCCGCAGTCGCAAAAAACTCAAGGCTGGGAAGAAGAAAAAGAAAGGTAAAGATACTTGTCAACAATTAGAGACAGGCACAGCTAAGTGTGTAGAAAGATTAGAGAGTAGTCTGTGTGGAGTGTGGTGTTTAATAGCATACTTGAGGGAGAATTGATTGTGAAGGAAGAAGCTGATATTATTTTGAATAAGGAAAAGGTTTTCAGGAGTTCTTTGTTAGGGAAACGGATGCAGTACTGAGTTTTCCTGGCCTTAACTGTACCTTTTATTTAATGGATGGAAGGGGGCACAAAGGGACTTGTTTTGCTCCTGTTTCCAAGTCTTCCTTCTTGCCCTGTTTACTTATATGGATTAAGAGTTTTGTATTCTGGATCTCTAGCTGGCTATGTAGGCTTTTGGGAGAATACCCTCCCTGGCTATAGGAGACCTGTACCTGTGGCTTGTACTGCAGTAACTCCTCATCACCCTCTGCAGGTGAGGAGGACTCCACAGTGGCTGTGGATGGCTATGAGACTGATCACCAGGACTACTGTGAGGTGTGCCAGCAGGGAGGAGAAATTATATTGTGCGATACCTGCCCTCGTGCCTACCACATGGTTTGCCTGGACCCAGACATGGAGAAAGCTCCAGAGGGCAAATGGAGCTGCCCACACTGTGTGAGTATTGGATTCCCCACATGGTGCAAGAGATCACGTATGAGGGGGATGTCAAGTGGCTTGGGGTTGTTTCTGTGGTAATGAAATAATCACTTTGTTTTTCTGATTTCCCTCTCCCATAGGAAAAAGAAGGCATTCAGTGGGAAGCAAAGGAGGATAACTCTGAAGGTGAGGAAATCCTGGAGGATGTAGTGGGGGATGCTGAGGAAGAGGATGACCACCATATGGAGTTCTGTAGAGTCTGCAAGGATGGAGGAGAGCTGCTGTGCTGTGATGCCTGTCCTTCGTCCTATCACATCCACTGTCTGAATCCCCCACTGCCTGAGATTCCCAATGGAGAATGGCTGTGTCCTCGCTGCACTGTGAGTTTCTGCTAGTACCATTGTCCTGTTGCTACAAGAGGTGATTGATCTAATCCCTTTGGATCATCATATTTCTATGGAAATACATGGTCCTTTGAAGACTGTCTCACTTTTGTCATGAAGCTTAAAGGCCTGACTTTTTGTAGCTGTATTGTGCCTTGATTGCTTTCTCCAGACAGTGGGGAGAGCCAGACTACAGCCTTTGAGTCTCAAGAGATTTGCCCACATGCAGAGCAGTTGGGCAGTTTTTGGTCCAGCGTGCCATGGATCACTTTTTTGGGCTCCTGTATGTGTGTAGAGGCAGGAGAACAAGTGAAAGTAAATTCAGTGCTTGAAGTAATTTAAACTGATGCTGAGACAAGCTGGTTTTGCACTGTTGTAAGCTTTGTAATGCTAAGACCTTTCTTAGTAGATGGTTAGGAGAAATACCATCCTTTTCCAGAAAGTTCTTGAACAGTATAAATGATGTTCATTGGTTTCATAAAGTGATGAACAAAAAGAAGCTGCTGAAGTTGGGCCATTAGTTCTACAGCAAAAAATATTTTTTGCACAGACTTCCAATGAAGTTGTAGTTGGGCAGACTACTGGGCTTTTCAAGCCTAGCAAATTCTATCTGTGTAGTGAAACCATAAAGGTGACTCTTGTTTCAGCTTCCATGTTAGAGTACATACATGATGTATGTATGCACAAGATGTATCGTGCTGTGTTTAACTTCCCAGTGCCCAGCTTTGAAAGGAAAGGTGCAGAAGATCTTGATCTGGAAATGGGGTCAGCCCCCAGTTGGCCCTGCACCACCCCGCCCACCTGATGCAGACCCTAATGCTCCACCGCCGAAACCTCTGGAGGGTCGGCCTGAAAGGCAGTTCTTTGTCAAATGGCAGGGCATGTCCTACTGGCACTGCTCCTGGGTGTCGGAGTTGCAGGTGAGTGGAGGAACCTAACCATGGCATGAGGGTGGTTGGACAGCTGAGGCTAAAACACCTACTGACTGCTCGTGTCCTGACTGCAGCTGGAGTTGCACTGCCAGGTGATGTTTCGTAACTACCAACGCAAAAATGACATGGATGAGCCGCCCTCGGGAGACTTTGGAGGGGAAGAAGAGAAAAGCCGAAAGAGGAAAAACAAGGACCCCAAATACGCTGAGATGGAAGAGCGTTTCTATCGATACGGGATCAAGCCAGAGTGGATGATGATCCACAGGATCCTTAATCATAGGTAGGGGGAGTAACAAAGAGGATTTTCAACAAAGACCTTAAGCAGGACTAAGGGAGAGGGGATGAGCTAAACTGCAGTATGACTGGGAGAAACAGTGCGAGTTCTTTGTTGGTATGATAGACATTGTTCTGTTTCTGCTGCTTCACTAAGAGTTCTTCCCTTCCATTTGAATGGATTGGGGGAATACTGCTATCTCACTGTGCTTGAGACTTACTGGTTTCTTCTGCAGTGTGGATAAGAAGGGGAATGTCCACTATTTGATTAAATGGAGAGACCTACCCTATGACCAGGCATCTTGGGAAAGTGAAGATGTGGATATTCAAGATTATGACCTCTACAAGCAAGCCTACTGGAATCACAGGTAGGAAAAGTATCTAGAGGTTGTTTTCCTTTCCCTTCCCTCAAAAGAAAGTACTTAAGTCTGTCAGCCTCCAGCACTGGCTGGATTAATAGATGGAAATGGGCAAGAAGGATCTTGTTGTTGCTGACTCCTTATGCCTTTGGGCAGGGACCTTGTGCCTCTCTACCAGTTCATGAAGGTTCCAGCCCTGTTCTCTTGAGCCTTTTTGAGTTGGGTGATTGCCCTCCTGTTCTCTGCAATAATTTTTGCTCTATCTGTTAATAAAAAGCCATTAAACTCACATGTACTTGGGACTGTGTCTGCACAGGGAGCTGATGCGAGGTGAAGAGGGCAGGCCTGGTAAGAAGTTAAAGAAAGTGAAGATGCGGAAACTGGAGAGACCCCCTGAGACTCCCACAGTAGATGTGAGTTATTGTTTTTTGCTTTGGAGCCATCTGATAGAGCTGCTTATTTTGGGATGCCTGCAAGTAAATAGGAAATCAAAGAGTGAGCAGCATATGGTTTGGAGCTCCCTCACAGCCCAAAGAATAAATGGCATTAGAGAGCCTTCAGACAAAGGTCCACCATGTCCATTGGGTCAGACTGCCTAGGTGAGAGGGTTTTACAAAAAGAAATGGCTTCTTGTTGGATGCCTTTGGCCATTTGGAAATTGGCTTTGATGCTAGACCGGTTGTCATCTCTGAAGCCTCATTTGTACTGGTGAATATAAGGGTGGCTAAGAAAGGACTCTTGTTAGTTATCTAAATGAGTGTAAGGATTCCAACTCTTCCTTCTTTCCACTGTAGCCAACAGTGAAATATGACCGGCAACCGGAGTACCTCGATGTGACAGGGGGGACCTTGCATCCCTACCAACTGGAAGGGCTGAATTGGCTGCGCTTCTCCTGGGCCCAGGGCACAGATACAATCTTGGCTGATGAAATGGGTCTGGGAAAGACTGTGCAGACAGCAGTGTTCCTGTATTCCTTATACAAAGAGGTGAGAGCTGGGAGGTCACTGCCCAGGGAGAGTCTGCCTGTATTGGTGATTGCAGCCATCTCATGCTCTTACTGCCTCTTTTGCAGGGGCACTCAAAGGGTCCCTTCTTGGTGAGTGCACCACTGTCCACAATCATCAACTGGGAACGAGAATTTGAGATGTGGGCCCCAGATATGTATGTAGTGACCTACGTCGGGGACAAAGACAGCCGGGCCATCATCCGTGAGAATGAGTTCACTTTTGAGGATAATGCCATACGTGGAGGCAAAAAAGCGTCCAGAATGAAGGTACAGAACTCTGCTTTAACACAGGCCTGAACTGACATGCAACTGACTTTCAGCAGCTGGGATTCAGATACTCTGCTGTCCCTGACCACTGACGATGCTTGTAGTTTCCAAGGGGCAATAACTGCAAATTGATGACAAGTGGACATTTTGACTCTTGCTATAGACTGTTTAAACACTCCTGCTAGTCTGAACTGATGTAGTACTGGAGAAAGATAGTTGACTAAAGTAATACTGGCCCTAGGCAAGTCCCTCAGTCTTCCCTTACTTAAGTTGTGCATCTTTTCTACAGATAAAAGTTGATGTCAGAATTGCCACTGTGTGTGAAAGACGGATATACAAAAAAAGTATGAACCTTTCCATCCTGAGAAATTGGCTGACAGGCCATACCCAGATGTGGGAAATTGAATTTTGTGCCCAGACAGGAAGGAAGACCCTGACCTAGATGGCAACTTCTTGTAGAACTGAAGTCTTCCTAGTAAAACCAAGATGGAAGCTAAAGCATTTTCAGTGGTAGAGGCAGATAGACTAATTTCCTTCCTTTGAAATGGAACAGCCTTAAGTACTAATAGTAATTTAAAATTCCATGGTAAACTATTTATTTTTTGAAGTCTTAGCTTTCTGATGAGCCACTCTTCTCCAAATCTCAAAATCTCAATTCTCTAACATGCCTCTACTCACTACTTACTTGTTAAACATCTTTGTTAGAGTATTTGGCATCTGTCCAAAAATAGCAGGTACTGAGGAGGGGGTTGAGGAGACTCACATGTGTTGAGAGCAATAGGGAATTAAAAGGCTAAAATGGTTTGGGCAGCATTTTGAGTCTTGTGACAGGAGACTACGGGTATGAAAGTTTTTGATGTGCTGTTGACCACGGCTCATCAGGATGACTTTATGGAGGAACACTACATCCTCTATCCCATTACATGTTCATCCTTTTCCTTTGCAGAAGGAGGCTGCTGTCAAGTTCCATGTGCTCCTCACCTCCTATGAACTGATCACAATTGATATGGCCATACTAGGCTCTATTGACTGGGCCTGTCTCATTGTGGATGAAGCTCACAGACTGAAGAACAACCAGTCTAAGGTACAGAGAAGCATAGGTGGTTCATGGGCATGGCATATGTTGCAGGGGAGAGAGGCAGCTCTTAGTCATTTGTTCAGTAGTAAATTTGATGTGTTAATAAAAAGAAAAATCAACAGCCTGCATTTGGAGATCAGTCATCATTGGTAACAGCTTTACTTATACAGATCACTGGTTAAAACAGCTTTCTTCCAGGTGAATGGGCAGTTGGTCTAGACTGAAAATCAGAAAAACCTGGATGTGGTTGTTGCTTTTAAATTAAAATTATTTCTCTGAAAGCATCACATACCTGCACCACCTCCATTCTGTAAAGGTTTACCATGCTGAGCATAAAACATGCTCCATGAGCAGAATTACCCTGCTTCCAGAGTGGGCTTGATCTGTGTTTATCTGGCTTTGTGGCAGAACTAATTAGGAGTTAAAGAAACTGAAGGTGGGCAGAGGTGTTTAAAAATGCCTAGGTAGGTGCTGAAAGCCATATTGCTGCTTTAATATGAGGCTGCACCTTTACTAAGCTTGTTTGAATTGAGTAGACTTGGCTGTACTTTGTTAATCCAGCCCCTCCCTAGGCCTTGTGCCTTAATTCTGGTATTGATTTGTCTGTCTTCAGCTGGATTCTAGTGCTCAGTATGCCAAAAACAATTGTTATTGGAAAGCCAGTTTTAGAGGTTCTTGGAGACTGAAAGAGAAAATTGCTGCTTGATTTCTTTTTTTGTTTGTTTTGTTTAAATGGCTTTAGTGTTTTGGATCTTGGCATGAGGTATCTTCCTGAGACATCACAGCTGTGCATGCAGTTCAGTTTCTAGATCTTATTTTATTGTAGGCACTAAGATTGCATGCCATTCTATGCTTAGCATTGAAACCATTGGAAGTAGGAATGAATGCTTACTATTAATATTCATTAATTGAAAGAGGATGTAAAGGCTTAAGGTCACACTATGACACTGTGCAGAACCATGAAATCTTCTTCTACAGCAGTTTCCTGTCCTATAAGAACAGCTTATAGGTGTTTGGCTGCAAGATAGGTCAGATGCTTCTTGACAAATTTGGGTCATCTCATAAAGTTTTGCAGATATAATTAGTAACTTCCACATTTGATTCCAAAATAAAAATATTTTAACTATAACTACATAGATAAATCCCTGTGGAGGCCACTAGAAGTACTGTTCTGGTGCAGTAACCAAAACACAAGTGATTTGGTTTTTGTTTGCCATCTAGTACATTTGCTTTCATTAAGTTTGACCTTGTGTCATGCTAAAGTGTAAGATAAGCAAAGAAGTGGCCAAACTGATAAATAAATTACTGCTTTACTGTCAATTTGTGCAGGTGAGCATGGTACACTTGTGCTTCTCAGTGCAGTACATTAACTGCTCACTACATCTGTCTGGAATGACTTCATTTTTATGAAAACCAGTGCAAATTACCTTCAAGACACATTGGCAAACCCTTAGCTCTTTTTCTCCCCTGCTTGTTCCAGGCTCTGGAACACAGCCAGGAGTGATATGAATAGGAAGAGTGACTTAGTTATTTCTAGAATTCTCAAGGCAGAGTAGTTGTAGGAATGTGGAACACTAATTTAGCAAGAAAAAATACATAGTACAGCAGTCTAGAAATGATTTGTGGTCTGAAAGACATTGTAACTTGTAAGAGCAAAGGAAACCTACTCGCACCTGATGGCTCAGAGGATTTGCTGCAGTCATGGTTTAGCTATGCAGAACAATGATCCAAATAAGATCAGTCTAGTAACCCTGACTGGAATGTGAACTACTTGGAACTCTTGTCCAAACAGCTGATGTGATCTAAATTGAACCCTAGATTGGTGTCAACTTTCTAGATTTTTTTTTTTGGTAAGCCTATGACTTAATAAGCCTTTGATGTATTTGTGTGTGTGTTTTGGTTTATTTTCCCACTTTGTTCCCTGCTCTCTCCTTTCCAGTTCTTCCGTGTGCTGAATGGTTACTCCCTCCAGCACAAGCTGCTGCTTACGGGAACTCCCCTGCAGAACAACCTGGAAGAACTGTTCCACCTGCTGAACTTCCTGACGCCCGAGAGATTCCAGTATGTCTTGCAGTGCCAGTCAGCCTGCCTGTCTTGTTCCTTTCCCCTCGCTTGCTCTTTTGCTCTTTTTCCTTTGTGCCGTTTGCTGAGTGTCTGTTTCCCCGCAGTAACTTGGAGGGCTTCCTAGAAGAGTTTGCAGATATTGCCAAGGAGGATCAGATCAAGAAGCTGCACGACATGCTGGGCCCGCATATGCTGAGGCGTCTCAAGGCTGATGTTTTCAAGAATATGCCATCTAAGACTGAGCTCATTGTCAGAGTGGAGCTGAGTCCCATGCAGAAGTGAGTGTGGGGCTGAGGAGAGCACCTGCTGTTGAGCTACTGTTTCTCTGCTCTGCAGTTTCAAAGAGGATGCTGCAACAGCCTTACCCTTACCCTACAGGGTTTTTTGCATAGTGGGCTGCCACTAGAGCAGAGGAAGGACTAAGTGTGTGCTCTGGTGTAGGGATAAAGAGATAGTGAGTGCCACTGGCAGAGCCTAGGTAGTAATGCCAGAAGCTGTGCAGAGTTTAGCAAGGGAAGAGTAGGTTAGTCATTCTCATGACAACTGTCTGAGTTGTTTTATTTTCTTTTTTGTTTTCAGGAAATATTATAAATACATTTTGACAAGAAACTTTGAGGCACTGAATGCACGAGGTGGTGGTAACCAAGTCTCATTGCTCAATGTTGTTATGGATCTGAAGAAGTGCTGTAACCACCCCTACCTCTTCCCTGTGGCTGCTATGGTATGTCCACTCACCTATTCTGTATAAGCAAATTCCTTGCTGGTTGTTATCAGGAAGCCAGTTAGCTCCCTAGGTGAGGCATGGAGGGGTTCCCCTTTCTCTCCTTTTGCTTCTATGTGTTTTTTTTCATCCTGTCTTTATTTAGACCCAGCATGCTGGAAGGCCATTTCTTTTCCAACACATTTATGTGATAGGTAGGAGCTATCTTTTGATTCAATGTGAGGTGGTGAAGAGTGTAAGAGTAGGGTCTAAGAAAAGAGGGAGGGTACATAGGAGTCAAATTGCAAGAGAACAGGGACAGAGTAGCACTGATGTTCATACAGGCAGTGCTATACCTTGTGGTTGTGCCAAGGTCAGAGGAGCCAACATCAGCTGGGGACTAAGGCCAAGTTACATCCCTTCAAGGTGTTTTTGTCCCTTGTACCTTATTCCCTCTTTCTCTTTTTCTTTTTAGGAAGCTCCAAAAATGCCAAATGGCATGTATGATGGTAGTGCACTTATTCGAGCCTCTGGAAAGCTGTTGCTGCTCCAGAAGATGTTAAAGAACCTGAAGGAAGGAGGTCACAGAGTGCTCATATTCTCTCAGGTATATGGAGAAAAACCCATAAGCCTGGAATACTTTTTCTGAGAAAGAAGTCTGTTGATCTGGTATCCACGTGTCCCTCACTCTTCTGTGGTGGTGTTTTTCTTATATGCAGATGACTAAAATGTTGGACCTTCTAGAAGATTTTTTGGAACACGAAGGATACAAATATGAGCGGATTGATGGAGGAATCACAGGGAACATGCGTCAGGAGGCTATTGATCGCTTCAATGGTAGGTAGTAGCCTACTTTTTCTGTAAAATGAAAGCTTGCCTTGTGTGTGCTTAATACTCATCATGGGGTTGTTGTGCCCCAAGTCTTCTATTGCTTTCCTGGAATCTTAAATTAGCAATTCCCTGTCAGGTGATGTGGGTCAATTGCAAATCCTTCTTTCAATACTACACACTCTTGATTACTTTTGTTCTCTTTTTTTTTTTAATCTAAGCTCCTGGAGCTCAGCAGTTCTGCTTTCTGCTTTCAACTCGAGCTGGGGGTCTTGGTATTAACTTGGCCACAGCAGATACTGTGATTATCTATGATTCAGACTGGAACCCCCACAATGATATCCAGGTGAGTCTGAATGGGATCACTCATTATGGAGTAATCCTGAGGAAGAGGAGACATTAAATAATCAGAGTGAATGAGTGTGAGACTTCCCCTCTAGAAATATGCAAAATTAGAACAGTGAGGATGGGTAAAGATGGGAAGTGAAATAGTGGAGGAATCTTCTAGAGCACAGCCTTCACTAATGCCAAGAGCGAATGTGAAGGCAGGTGGGAGGTGTGTGGAGGTAGGAGGGCTATATCAGACGTGCTGCATGTGCAGCTCTAGATTGTTCTGAGCACATCTCTTTTGTAGGCCTTCAGCCGTGCACACAGAATTGGGCAGAACAAGAAGGTGATGATATACCGCTTTGTGACAAGGGCCTCAGTGGAGGAGCGTATCACTCAGGTGGCCAAGAAGAAGATGATGCTGACTCACCTCGTAGTGAGACCAGGGTTGGGCTCCAAGACAGGCTCCATGTCCAAACAGGAACTTGATGATATTCTGAAATTTGGCACTGAAGAGCTCTTCAAGGATGAAGCTACTGAGGGGGGTGAGTGCCTGGGAGTAGAACTGAAGGGAGTGGGGAGATCTGGCTCCTTAATTAGTGAGAGACTGTAGACACACTGCTGATTATAGTTCTATAGAGAGGGTCTAGGGTGGCATTCCCTTTCATGGTCCAGTGAGATCCATACAGCAACAGTGCCTGTACTCTTCCTTCAGGGGATAACAAGGAAGGTGAGGACAGTAGTGTCATCCACTACGATGACAAAGCAATTGAGCGTCTCTTGGATCGGAACCAGGATGAAACAGAAGATACAGAACTTCAGGGCATGAATGAATATCTCAGCTCCTTCAAGGTGGCCCAGTATGTGGTTCGTGAGGAGGAGATGGGGGTGAGTATGAGATGGATGTCAGCTAATACATTCTCCTGAGTGATTGAGGATCAATTAAGTTAATTGGGCTCTGAAGCTTTTAAGGCTAAGCAGGCAGGCATATATCTGCTATGACAGGCTGGGACTTGGAGCATAGGGCCCTAAGTTTGTTGCCTCTCTGGCAGGAGGAAGAGGAGGTTGAACGGGAAATTATTAAGCAGGAGGAATCAGTAGATCCTGATTACTGGGAGAAACTGCTCCGTCACCATTATGAGCAACAACAGGAGGATCTGGCCAGGAACCTGGGCAAGGGCAAACGTATTCGCAAGCAAGTTAACTACAACGATGGCTCACAGGAGGATAGAGGTACAAATCCACAGGACCCTGAGGGGAAAACGGGTGTAAGTATATGTTGCTGGGAAGTAACGGAGTAGCGTCTCAGGCTCACGTGCTGTTTTTCTTTCAGACTGGCAGGATGACCAGTCAGATAATCAGTCAGACTATTCAGTTGCTTCTGAAGAAGGGGACGAGGACTTTGATGAGAGATCTGAAGGTAAGTTCTACTGGAGTCAGAGTTCCTGGGTTGCTTGGAGTGTGGAAACAACTGGGACTTGATTTGGGCGATTTATACATTTTGTGGTGCTCTTCTGCTGGGGAATTTTCACACAACAACGTGCTGTGCATTGTCTCTTTACTTAGCTGCATTTCTCTCTTCAGCAGCTCGCCGGCCTAGCCGCAAGGGCCTGAGAAATGATAAGGATAAGCCTCTGCCTCCCTTACTGGCCCGTGTGGGAGGGAACATCGAGGTAAGTTGTACCAGGGAAGGCAGTTGCATCCCAGCTGCTCCTGTATTCCTCTTGCCATATCCCTCTGTCTGCTCCTTCGTTCCAGGTGTTGGGTTTCAACGCTCGCCAGCGGAAGGCCTTCCTCAATGCTATCATGCGCTATGGAATGCCACCTCAGGATGCCTTCACCACTCAGTGGCTTGTTCGGGACCTCCGTGGCAAGTCAGAGAAAGAGTTCAAGTGAGTTTGCAGTAAGCAGGAATGGGAGACTGACAGCAACTAGACCTGTTGGGGGAAAATGAGAATTTGGCCTTTTCTTGGAGACTACATTTCCTTCATGTATTGGTTGATTCTTTATGGGAGAATGAAGTATAAGCTGGGATTGTTGCGAACTCTCTTACTTGGATCTGACTCTTCAGTCACCAAAAGTAAATGCTTTTATAGGAGTAGCATGTAATGAATACTCTCCCAGAGTCTTTCTTGAGTTTATAATTGCTTCTGGCTCAGGACTCGAGTTAGCTGTGTGTCCTCTATTTGTAGTGATTCTGTTAGGAAATTCTCCCTTGAAGGAGCCTGGAGCTGCAGAGCTTCTTACTATGAGTTAAGAGTCTCGGGGTAATTTCCCTTATGTGCTGGAAGGGGTCTGACAAGGCATGTCTCCAGATAATGCAATTTATGGATGAATTGCTTGTCTCTCCATCGCTGCAGGGCCTATGTCTCGCTGTTCATGCGTCATTTATGTGAACCTGGAGCTGATGGTGCAGAGACCTTTGCAGATGGGGTCCCACGGGAAGGTCTTTCTCGACAGCATGTCCTCACTCGCATTGGGGTCATGTCACTTATACGCAAAAAGGTGGGTGCCTGGCAGAGCAGTGTGGCCTTTGCTGGCCATACATACAGCTGTAGTCACCAAGGTCTTGAGTTGGAGAGCTAGCTCTTCTTTCACACCTACCTTTCTTGTGTGCTCAGTGGTCTGCCTCTGCAGGTGTAAGGATGGGTTTTGTATGACTCCTCCAGTGATACGTCTTTCTCTCCCTCTTGTGCAGGTGCAGGAATTCCATGTGAACGGCCGCTGGAGTATGCCAGAACTGGCAGAGATAGAGGAGAACAAGAAACTTTCACAGCCCAGCTCACCCTCTCCCAAAACTCCAACTCCTTCAACACCAGGGGATACGCAGCCAAACACACCAGCCCCTGTTCCTCCACCTGGTGAGGGCTCCCCTCTTGTGCAGCCCTGCGTCCTGACCTCAGCCTGGCTGTTCCCCTCACCGTAACTGTGGTGGTGGGGCCTGGGGGTGGACGCAGATCAACTTACTCTCATGTTAGGAGGGCTGCCAGAGACATGTGCAAGCCCTTAAAGGCAAGAGAGGACACTGGCTTTCCTGGGATGAGCTGACAGCAGTGAGAAGCCCAGCATATTTGTAGTGGGCTGGAAAAGAGGGGTCATGTTAGTTCCGTTTTGATGGGCCTGATCTCTGGGAGCAAAGAAGTGGTCTTGGTAGTAGGGAAGACCTTACTGATTTGCTTCTCTTTTGTCTGCTGTGCTGCTCTGGCATGGGGAATACACAGAAGATGGAGTAAAAGTAGAAGAAGGAGCTAGTGCTAAGGAGCAAGGAGAGCCTTCTGAACCCGAGAAGGAGCTCAGTGCCTCTGCTGCTGAAACAGAGGCCCCTATGGAGGTGAGTTTTGGCTTTTTTGCCTTGTAATTGTGAATTTCTCTACTTCTGCCTCCTCTTCATTTTAACTGAGGCCAGAGATGAGTTTTTAGAGTGATACTTGAAGAGAATTCTCTGGTCCTCAGAATTTGCCTCACAGTTTTGTGTCTTTGCTTTTCAAATGACTGTGACTGTGTTCGATTGTCATGCACTGCTATACTTTTGTCTCACTGTTTGCTGTCCTCTGCAGTGTGCTCAGCCTGTGGAGACACCGCCCCAGGAAGCAAAATCCCCAGTGAACTCCACAGAAGCAGATGAAAAAAAAGTAGAGGAAACAGAAGTGAAGGAAAGATCAGATGAACCAATGGAAGTAGAAAGCAAAGGTACAAAGCACTTAATCCTAAAGAAATAGGCTTGAATGTAGAAAATCGGTGGGAAGTTACAGTATAGTATTGGGTTTTACTGGTTGAAGAACAAAACTGGACTTGCTATGTTCTGTGCATCTCATGTTCCCCTTCTTTCCTGCAGCTGATGTGGAGAAAGTGGAAGACAGAGCAGCTACTGAAAATCCTCCTGACCCTCCTATAATCACTTTGGATGAGAAAGGTGAGGTATTATGACTCCCTTCTCTTCCTTAACCCTTCTCCTGCAAGGATTCATTGTGGGTCCAACTTGTTGCACTGTCTGCCATGTTTGTAGCAATAATTTCCTGTGTGTACAGATGAGAAGAAGGATGATGATAAGAGAGATGTGGTGATGCTGCAGAACGGAGAGATGCTGAAAGAGTCAGTAGATGAAAGGCACAAGAAGGCAGTAAAGCAGCGCTTCATGTTCAACATAGCAGATGGTGGTTTCACTGGTACGTGATCTTTGTCTGCTTGAACTTGTTTATAAGCTCCTGCTTAGCTTTGTGAAATAACTTCCAACTGTTCTGGTGTCCCTTGCCTTTGCAGAGCTACACTCCCTCTGGCAGAATGAAGAGCGGGCTGCCACTGTCACCAAGAAGACCTACGAGATCTGGCATCGGCGTCACGACTACTGGCTCCTAGCTGGGATTATCAAGTATCCTTGCCATGACACACACATTCTCCCACCTTGTACATAATTTGTCACGGTGAAAGTGACTGTTCTGGATCTGACCGGTGTAGGTTAAGTGAGAGAGTGCTTAATCTTCACAAGAGTGAAAGTGATGGTGGGATGGGGGAGCTTCCTGCAGCATAGTTAAGACTTAGCAGGACATAGTTCTCATTCCCCTTCCTTGGCTCCTGTTTGTCCCCTCTCTGTACCCCCTTTTCCCACTCCCCCTGGACAACAGTATTGCCTGGGCTGTGTATTCCCTTGTTTTCACTGCCTTTGTTTGCCTGAGCTCATCCCATCTCAGTCATGGCTATGCCCGTTGGCAGGATATTCAGAATGATCCACGTTACGCCATCCTCAATGAACCCTTCAAGGGTGAGATGAACAGGGGTAACTTCCTGGAAATAAAGAATAAGTTTTTGGCAAGGAGATTTAAGGTAAGGATTTCTCTTTAGTGTGATAACTGCCTGGATCTCTAAGAACAGGTTCTTGCAGTTCTGAGTTTCCACCAAGAAAGTGAAAGATGTATGCAATGCCTTTTGTTTTAGGGGTAATAAAAAAGTAGTGTCGTGCTGTTGCTCCAATAGGAGCTCCCTTTTTTCTGGAAGTGTTATTGGGGAGCTGGGTTCAGTGCTCTCTATCCAAATGTTTACTGAATAACTGGTAAGCAAGAGGCTTAAGGTTCAAGCGGCTGTTACAGTCACAGCTTCTGCTCGGTTTGCTACAACTCCCTCCGTGTGCCTGAACAGAACTCTGGTTGCTTAAAGGGCTGCCTCAGTCTCTCCTTCATCCTCTTTAGGAGTGAGCCTAGCTTAGTTGTGGGAGTGATTTATGATCAGGTAAAAGCCATGTAGGTCTCAGTCTTGGGGCAAAACATTGATTGACTATAGACTGAATGATAAGTTCTGCACTGACAGGATTCCAGCTGATTTCTCCAAATCCTTACAAGATTTTTGACTCTTTCTATAAAATAGGATGGAATACTTTTCACTTGGGTTCCAAGAGTAATCTCTGTCCAATTTGCCTCATAAAGAATGTGTAAAAAGAGGAGGAATGAAGTACTAGAGGAGTTGTAGCAGTCTGTTAAACCCAATGTACCCTGGTTTCCTTCTGTACCTGACTTTGCTTCATGAAGCCCGTGTTGTTTTGGGCTACTCGGTGAAACCAGCTGGTGAAAGGAGATTCAGCTACACAATCTCACCTTATGAGATGGTGGGGAATTGGATCAGGGGAGGCTGGGGGTACAGACAAGGCTCCCTCTCAGGCTGCTGCTGAAAGACTCATTCCTGCCCCACCTTGCAGCTCCTGGAGCAAGCGCTGGTGATTGAGGAGCAGTTGCGGCGAGCTGCCTACCTGAACATGTCCGAAGACCCATCCCACCCATCCATGGCTCTGAACACACGTTTTGCAGAGGTGGAATGCCTGGCTGAGAGCCACCAGCACCTATCCAAGGAATCGATGGCTGGGAATAAACCAGCCAATGCTGTGCTGCACAAAGGTAATGCGGTGTGTTAAACGGGGGTGGGATACGTGTTCAGCAGTGCCGTCCCCTCTGGGGTGTCCCTTTCCCGTCCGAACAGATGTCCCTTTCTCTTGTAGTTCTGAAGCAGCTGGAGGAGCTTTTGAGTGACATGAAGGCAGATGTGACCCGTCTGCCTGCCACCATTGCCCGCATCCCCCCCGTGGCAGTGCGCCTGCAGATGTCGGAGCGCAACATCCTCAGCCGCCTGGCCAACCGCAGCAGCGAGCCCCCGCCGCCGCCCCCTCCCCAACAAGTACGTACCCGCTCTGGTCAGTGAGGGAGCTCTGGGGAGGGGCCTCCCTCGGCCAGCCTGGCCTCGGGACCAGCCCGCGAGGCTCAGGTCCTGCTCTCTCGCCCTGCAGGTGGCCCAGCAGCAGTGAATTCCTGGCCCAGTGCTGTTGACCTTTCGGCCAAGCTGAAGTGACTCCCCTAGCCCACCCCTTCACACTCTACCCCTCTGCCTGACATTCCTGACTGGGTGCTGTTTCCCTCCATGGAAGCTGCTGCTCAGGTCTCTGGAAGGAGAAGAAACTCCTTCCTCTGCAGCCAGCCCGTTGGAGCAAGGAGTGTGTTTAGGAGAGAGGGGGATGGATGTATGATGGACTCTGTACATAGTGACTGGAGGCCCCAGCGCCATGTCTGTTACATGGAGAACCTGGCTGCATTGCTCGTTGCCTCCGCCTGGAATTCCAGTTTTCGTTCTTAAGTTTATTTTGAGTTTGTTTACTGAGACAAGTGCGCAGGCAAGACCAAGCAAAAGCCAGGACAGAGACAAAGCTACCTCCATCAAAATCCTTTTTAATACAAAAACTGACCGGACTTGTCAACTAATAAGCAGCTTGAAGACAAAAGCAAACAACAATGAAAAACCAACAAAAAACAGAGCAAAACGTTGATAAAACTGAAAAATAAAGTTTCCTTGTATTTTATTTTGTTGTCTCTAGTATCATGAGTGTACTGGGGTAAGTATGTGGTCTCAGCGTTGAAAGATGTAGTCATGTCTTTTTGCGGTATCAGAGCAGCTTTTGGGGTATCTACACCTCTGAGCAGGGCAGTAGCTGCCCCCAGCCCTGGCAGTGTTTAAGGCCAGGCTCTGTAAGGCCGTGAGGACCCTGTTCTCAGGAGCGCTGTCCCTGACCTGGCATGGGTATTGGGCTAGGTGAGCTTTGAACCGCTGCGCCCTCACCGTGACAGTCTCAGGTGCAGAGTCACTCTCTGCTGCCTGCCCTGCGCTGTTCCCTGTCCCGGCTGCAGCAGCCCCGCTCCCGCTCCCGCCGTTCCCGCGGCCCCTCGCGCCCCGGGGGCGGGCGGCCCGCGCCGCTGACGTCACCGGCAGGGCCAATCAGCGGCGGCGGTGGGCGGCGTGGCGGCGGGCAGCGCGGCACGTGCGGCGGCGGGTCCCGGTGCGGCGGCGCGGCCATGGGGCGCAAGCTCGACCCCAGCAGGAAGGAGAAGCGCGGCCCCGGGCGCAAGGCCCGCAAGCAGCGCGGCGCCGAGGTGGAGCTGGCCCGCTTCCTGCCGCCAGGTAAGTGCGGCCTGCACCGGCCCGCCCCGCCGCGCCGCGCCCGCCCGCGCCCGCCTGACCGCCGCGTGTCTTCCCGCAGAGCCCGAGGCCGGCAGGAAGAGGCTCTCCGCGCACGGCAGGAGGAGGTGAGCGGGGCGGGCCGGCGGGCCGGGGCGGCCGCGCCGGGCCGGGGCTGATCGGCGCTTCCCTCCGGTGCAGGGCTGCGAAGAGGCGGCTGGGAGCGGGCAGCGGCCCGGCCGGGCGGAGAGCAGGAGCGGCGGCAGGAGCAGAGCGAGAGCCGCCGGGTGAGTGCGAGCGGGCCCCAACCGGGCGGCGGGCCCCCGGCCTGCTCCCCCCGGCGCTGCCGCCACCGTCCTTCTCTAGCGTCATTTTCAAGGCAAAGGACACGTGGAATTTCGTTATTTTAAGTCACAGAATTCCAGAGTTTCCTGAGCTAGAGGAGACCCACAAGGATGGTTGGGTCAGCTCCTGGCCCTGCGCAGGACCATCCCAAGAGTCACAGCATGTGCCTGAAGGTGTTGTCCAAACACTTCTTAAACTCAGACGCGCTCTCCTGGCCCTGCGCAGGACCATCCCAAGAGTCACAGCATGTGCCTGAAGGTGTTGTCCAAACACTTCTTAAACTCAGACGGGCTCGGTGTCTTCCTGGGATCACTTCCTGGGAACTTGTCCCAGTGCCCAGCCACCCTCTGGGTCAGGAACCTTTTCTAATATCCAGCCTAAACCTCCCCTGATACAGCTTCAGGCCATTTCCTCAGGTCCTGTCACTGTCACCACAGAGGAGATCAGTGCCTGCCCCTCCTGTTTCCCTCATGAGAAGGTTGCAGCCTGCCATGAGCTCTCCCCTCAGTCTCCCCCTCTCCAGGCTGAACAGACCAAGTGACCTCAGCTGCTCCTCATGCAGCTTCCTCTCCAGACCCTTCATCATCTGGGACCTCTTTTGGGTTCTGTGTTGTAGATAATAACAATTAATTCTATCTGACTTCTGCTGGCTGCCATGCCAGGAGGCAGAGTTGTCTGAAGAACTAGTCAAAGGTCTCCCTTCTGCATGTTAAATCCATTTTTTACTTATCCTCCATTCACAGCACAGTTGTTGCAGGCTGCTTTTATAGCTGAGACTTTTAAGTCTTTGTGTTACATTTTGTGTAGCCCAGGAAACTTTTAAAGTAGAAAAAAGGAAGGATAGACAAAGATTTGGGACAGAGAGTACTGCAATATGTTAGAGCAGATACTGTCAGAGTTTTGTGGCAGTGTTTTAATTTGGTGATTCTGGTTAGATCTCCTGCAAGGTGCACTGAGGGACAGGTGAGAATATGCCCAGGACTTCATCAGATGTGGAGAGCAAGCAGTCCCTCCTCTGGACAGGCAGCTCAGCACTCAGCCTTCTTGTGTAACAACTGAAAAAGCAGAGCAGCTGATTGTGGAGATAATGCCTAACTTTTAACTGCCTCTTCTGCCTCTAGCTGAAGAGCAGGTGTCCCCACAGAAGGACAAACGTGCTGTAAAGGCAGCAGGACAAACTGCCCGTGGCCGTTCCGGCTTCAGTGATAGCAATTCCAAGTGGCTGGCTCCAGCCAAAGCCAAGAAAACCCAGCCAAAAGGGAACCATGTGGAATTATCCAGTGATGGTGAGGTGGAAGAGGGCTGGGAGATGGAGGAGGAGGATGGGAGCAGCGAGGACATGGTGGACGATTATGGTGCCTCATCATCAGAGGAAGAAGAGGTAGGAACTTCTTGCTCTTAATTACACAAGAAATACGTGGATTTGTTGGCTGAAAGGACACCTTGGGCCTGGGGGGAAAGGAGGGCTTTGGTGGCAGGGGGTGGAGAGGTGGTGGAAAGCTTTCCCTTCTTTCCTTCACAAGAATGATTTCAAGTTTAGTAGCTGATTCCAGCAAAACATTCAGTGCTTTTGTTTGTTGTCCCTTTTAAACAGAGCAAGTAAATTTCACAGATGGTGGGGAGCAAGGGGACGACTGTGGATGGGGACAAAAAACTGGATTTTTTTTCATTAATCTTTTGTCTCTGTTTAGCTGCTGCCTATTGAAAAAGCTGCCCTGAAGCAGAAGCCTGAGAGGTGAGTGTGTAGAGCCTTTTCTGGGTAGATGAGGAGCCTGTGTTGTTATTCTTCTGTCTTTTGTGCCATGTAAGAAGTGGTAGCTGAAAAGCATCTGTGTGATCCTGTTCTTGGTCCTTAGGGAAGCCCTCAGTGAAGATGACAGCGAAGAGGAAGAGGAGGAGGAAGAGGAAGCAGAGGAGGCAAGCAAGCAGAAAATGGGACAGAAGGAAGAAGAGGGCCCAGATCTGCAGCTCAACCTGGATATAGATGAGCAATTTAAACTGCCAACTAGTGAAGAGATTGAGAAGGAGGATATCCTTTTTATCTGTGACATCCAGAAGCCATGTGCGTGATGCAGCACGGGGCCTGGATACAACCAAAGAGCTTCACTTGGACTTTATCATGCATATTGCTTAGCAAAAGTGTCTGTGCATGACAAGGTATTTTTAGCTGAGCTGTTCTAATAGATAGTGTATAATGCTGTGCTTCTGTATAGCACAGTTAGGAAATCTGTGACGCCCTGTATGGGGCTTGGAACCTGCCCCAATTTCCTTTCTAGTCCTAAATACATATGGATGATTTATTATGTGGTTTGTTCCTCTCTACCCTGATTTTTCTGGTGGGTGTTTGCGTAACCCATTCCCAGAGTTTCTGATGACAGCAATTCTAGCATCCAAAGTGCTTGCTTCTGGACTTTGGTGGTTTTCATTTCCTGCCTCCCTTCTTACACTCCTCTGTACCGCTTGGTTGCCCTTGGAGAATTTCTGGTCTCTTTTTTCTGCTGCAGGTAATGCTTTCAGTATTAAAACACTTCTTTTGTTGGTTTTTTTTCAATAGAAAGAAAATTTCTCTATTTTTCTAAAGTAATTATGTTAAGCACCCTCTAGTTCTGCTTTGTGGACTTTTTTTGCCCAGTTTAATCCCTTGAGTCCTGCATCTGCTGAGCTCTGATGGAAGCAGCATTCCAGCAGAGCCTTTCTGGAGCAGGCTCTGTTGTGGCGCGCGCGTCCAGCGCGGCTGATTGTGCTTGTAAAGAGCCCTGTGTGAGTTCCTTGGCTGTCGGTGATTCCTTGACGGTGTCCCCACCTGCCGAGCCCCCTGACCTGCACGTCATTCACCAGCGCATCCAGGGCAACATGGAGGTGCTGCAGGACTTTGGGGTGAAGCGGGAGGAGGGGCGCTCCCGGCAGGAATACCTGGCGCTGCTGCGCCGGGACATGGCCGCCTACTACTCCTACAGCGACTTCCTGCTCACCAAGCTCATGGACATCTTCCCGCTCCCTGAGGTGGGATCCTGCCCTGCCCGCAGCTGCGCTGACCGACGGGGGTTTGGCTGCCTCCCTGGGAATTCATTGCTGTCTCTGTTCTGTGTCCCTTCTTCCATCCAGCTGGTGAACTTCCTGGAGGCCAACGAGGTCCCGCGCCCTGTCACCATTCGCACCAACACGCTGAAGACGCGGCGGCGGGACCTGGCGCAGGTGAGCTGGGGCTGGTGGCCATGTCCCGAGCTGCCTGTCCCCCAGAGCAGCGTCTCAGGCCCTTCTCCTTGCCCTGCAGGCTCTCATCAACCGTGGCGTGAACCTCGACCCCCTGGGGAAGTGGTCGAAAACGGGGCTGGTTATTTATGACTCCACTGTGCCCATCGGTGAGATCACCTTTACCCTGCAGGGCTGGGCTCACCCGCTCCTGCTCCCCTTTCTTTCACGTGTCACCTTCTTCTGTTCTGCCTTCCCTGCCCAGGTGCCACCCCCGAGTATCTGGCTGGACACTACATGCTGCAAGGAGCCTCCAGTCTTCTCCCTGTCATGGCACTGGCTCCGCAGGAGAATGAGCGCATCCTGGATATGTGCTGTGCTCCAGGAGGCAAGACCAGCTACATAGGTACCACCCTGGAGCCTTGGGAGGGATGCTCTGTCCAGTGAGGAGTTCCCACTGGTCCACACAGAAAGGGGGAATGGAGGGGGACTGAACTCGAGGAAAGGAGGGGGTGGCTGTCACTGGAGGTGAATGCACGTGAGGTTTTCAGCCCCTTGCTGGTGTGTTTTGCCCTCTGGCAGCTCAGCTTATGAAGAACACAGGGATGATCCTGGCTAATGACAGCAACGCCGAGCGGCTGCGTAGCGTGGTGGGGAATTTGCACCGCCTGGGAGTCACCAATGCTGTTGTGAGTAACTGCGATGGACGCCAGTTCCCCAAGGTAGGTTCTGCTTACAGTGCTTGCCCAGAGCTGCTCTGCTGTCCCTTTGGTGAAGCTGTGCTCTCCAGAGTCACCTGTCACAGCAGGATGAGCAGAGCTGCTGGGGACTGTGTTTGTTACATGATACAGAGGCAGGAAGGTGGACAGGGAAGAGGGAGAAGGAGTGTTTCCTGCCTTCCCAGTCTTCTGGTTCCTCTTCTAATCTTGCCTTGTTTTGAGTCCCCACCTGTGAGCGTAATTCCAAATCTACATCTGCCTGTAGGTGCTTGGAGGGTTCGACCGTGTCTTGCTTGATGCTCCTTGTAGTGGAACGGGTGTCATTTCCAAGGATCCTGCTGTCAAAACCAACAAGGTGGGTGGCAAGTGCAGACTCAAGTATGAGTCATGAGAGGAAGGCCTTTGGGGGCAGCTTTGTTCTTGAGAGATAGCTACAATATTTTTTTCCTTTTCTTTCTTATTCTGGGTGTTGTACCAGGGCTGGTTTTTTGGTGTTACTTCTGCAGAAGACTCCATAGTCTTGTACATTATGTGTGTTTTGCTCTCCTGTCATTCCCTCATCCACAGCAGAGGCCTGGGGTGCTTCCCTGTGCCTGTGGCATCCTAACCTTCCTTTCTCCCTCAGGATGAGAAGGATATCCTGCGTTGTGCCCACCTGCAGAAGGAGCTGATTCTTAGCGCCATAGATTCGGTCAATGCTGCCTCAGAGACAGGGGGCTACATTGTCTACTGCACTTGCTCCATCATGGTAAGTGCCTCCCAGCATCATCTGCTGTGGTCACCTCCTCCTCAGGAGATGGTGGGGTTTGGATCCTAATGCTTAGCCTCTGGCAGGTGGAGGAGAACGAGTGGGTTGTGGATTATGCCCTGAAGAAACGCAATGTCCGTTTGGTGGCCACGGGCCTGGACTTTGGCAAGGAAGGCTTCACCAGGTGCGTGCCAGGTCACAAGCTGCACAGGTGACTGCTCCTTGGTGGCCAGGCTTGAGCAGAGTGCCGTATCACTCCTCACCCCACTTCCTCCTCCAGGTTCAAGGACCGTCGCTTCCACCCGTCCCTCAAGTCCACGCGTCGTTTCTACCCCCACACGCACAATATGGACGGCTTCTTCATCGCCAAGCTCAAGAAGTTCTCCAATGCCATCCCGCAGGCACAGAAAGGTGACGTAGTGCTGGAGCTCAGCCGGGCTGGCTGGGCCTGCCCTCACAGGCTGCTTCCCCTGCAGCAGCCACGCGGGTTCTCCTCACAGCGCCTTTCTCTCCTTTCAGATGAAGAGCCTGCTGTGGAAGCGGCAGCTCCGTCCGCTGTCCCTGATACCACCATCACGGAGCCTCCGCCCAAAAAGAAGAAACTTGAGGGATCAAAGGCTGACAAAGAGCAGAAGCTGCCCCATCCTGCTTTGAAGAAGAAGCGTTCATTGCAAGCCCAGAGGAGACCCTTGAAGGCTGTCCGGCCTTCCCCCAAAATGATGCGGCCTAAAGTCCCTACCAGGAAGAAGAAGCACAGAGTGAAAGCGAATGGACAGTGAGAGGAACTGCTTTTCCACGTGTTGGTCCCTTCCTTGGAGAGCAAAGGCTGCTGCAGCTCTGTGTGTACCCCCACTTTGCTGCTCTGTGCAGATCATCTCTGCAGCTCTGAGCACCTGGGACAGTCATAGCCCCCTTTGCATCAAGGACTGATGCACTGACCCATTAAAAGTTTTATACTCTTGCTCAAGTCTTGTTCTTTTTTCTTGGAACATTAAATACAGAATTCTGCTGTGTCCCCTTATTCCTTTGCAGCAGAAACCCCTCTTACTCCCAGCTAAATGCTCTGGCATTTCTGGTGTCTGTCCTCATTCCCTGCAACAGGGATGTTTGTGCAGAAGCAGTGGGAGCTGAAATCCTTGCTGCCTGCATGAAGGCTGTATTGTGTAGAGCTGTCAGCTGAGTGCTTTGTCTGGGCAAGGCTCTAGTCCAGTGCTTCCCCAGTTCCCCGTTGTCACTTAGTTCACTCTTGTGACTGTCCCCATTTCACCATTTTTCTCGTCCCCAGCAGTGTCTCAGTTCTTGGCCTCCCAGACTTGAGCAGGGATTGTTTTTGGTTTGTGGAGCTGTACAGTGAAGATCTCTGCCTTTATGGTCACCCAGCTGCAGCTGCTCCTCCTAAGACACAGTGAGCAGTGGTCTGGGCTGTTTCTATTTAAATGTCCTGGTCTGCTACATGTGAGGCTGCAGCTTTCCACCCTGTCAATGCCACCAGGCACAGAGTGATCAGCAGAAACTGAGGGAACCTGCTGTGATGGGTGCCCAGGGAAACACCAAACAGCACTTAAAAAACGAACAAAAAGGGCCTAATCCTGTTCTTATCCTGTTCTTGCTCCCTGGCCCATCAGTCCTGGACCATGCTGGTGCATTGTCTGCCCACACTTTGCTGGTCACTGCAGCGTCCTCGGGCTTGTGATCTGTCTGCTGCCTGGTTCTCAGCCTCTTTCCTGCTGGCAGGCCAGCCTAGCTCGCAGTTAGCTAAGGGCCAGCAGCGTGCATGCGTGCAGGGAAAAGGGCTGGGATTAGCTTAATGCCAGGCCAGGCCAGATGGTGGTAATTGGGAGCAGGGCTCAGCCACACAGGCACACCGACCAGCCGCCACTCTCTGTGTGACTGGCTGCTATTTATTCCTTTCTCCATTTCCCATGCTCAATTCTCCCTGATTTAGCTCGATGCCTCCCTTGATCCTTCTCCTCAACAACCCATAGTAAATTTTGTTCCCATAATCTTCCTTAAAACACTGCATAACAAACTTTACACCCTCCTGCAGTTTCCCTCAAGCATCCCATCACAGATCTGCTCTTTCCCATGAAGCCCATGATAATGCTGCTTTTTTATCAGTTGTGAAGTTTCTGGCTGAAGCTTTTCAAGGTTGCACTTGAGAGATTCCTGTAATGGTTCAGTCTCTCAGTGTCTCAGGAGTCCTGGTCTTTGTTACAGACCTTGTTATCTTCTGCTTTTTAGGGCTTATCTGTGTGTTTTGTTTACTATAACCCTGTTTGGAGTGGAGGGGGGAACTGACTTTATCATTTTGTGTTGAATAGCCATTAAACAAATATCTTCTTAGTTGAAAATTAACTTTTTCCCCATGCTTCCTTCCCCATGTGAATTAGGTCAGGGAGGAGTCTCTGAATGCAACTGTCTCACTTTGGGTTTGTGTTTTGAGGTCTGGATTGTTGGTTACAAAGGACCCAAGGGAAGATTTTCGACGTCTTTCAGAATAATTAAATAAATGCTAGGTGCAATAGCACCCAAGGGAAAGAATTACTGCCCCAGTATTGCATTTCTAGTACCCCCCTTTATCTGCATAAAAGCTGTAAAACTGGGAAATGTTCAGAGAAGACAGATGCACCCTAAGTTTTAGTAAGAAAAGCAGCAAGAGCCTCTTTGAGCCCCAGGCCTGTCCTTTCGGGAGCAATGTGGATCTGTCCCATGTTGCTGCCCCTGCTGAGGTAACCAAGTGAGTGTGCAGCCTCAGCTTGAGATCCTGTTCATCCTGATAACCCCATCAGCAGGGATGGAGCTTTCCTGGCTGGGATCCCACGGTAACTGTCTGTTTTCCAGCAAATGTCAAAATTATGGTGGAATTTCATCCCTGAAATGCAGGAATAACCACTGCTTGAAGTGTGTCAAGAAAACATCTCTCTTGCTGAGCATTGTTCCAATCACTTGGCATGCCTGCAAACCTTTTGTTATAGCTGGGAAGAGATGGGATGAATTTTCATCTCTGGTGGTTTGATCTCCTGCTCCTGATTTCAGCTGTTGCAGTTATCGCTGCTCAGAGAGATAATGCTGAGTGTGACATTGAAAGGCCACCACTGAGCTTCAGAGGCAGTACTGGGGATGCAGCAGCTGGGGACAAAGCTTGGTGGTTTCCTCTGCATTCTGGTACAAGGCTGTGGCCACATTAGGCTTGTGCTTGCAGCCACCTCCTTACTCTGGGAATCTTTTGTTACCTGAAAGCTGAGATTTCTGGAGAATGTGACTGCTGGATCATCTTTCAGTACCTTCCTTTAATGTGTTTTAATATCTGAAAGCTGCTGATAACAAGGCTTGCGGGAGCTGAGACAGAGCAAAGCAAGAACTGAGGCAGAGCAAGGATTGAAAGCAGATCTGAGGGGTAAAAATGCTGTCACAGATTAAAAGCTTGTTGAGAGGAGTCGTGATATCTGTTCCACTGTGCTGCGTGCTGTCCTTCTCCCCAAACTGGGAGTGTGTTGGAGAAGCCTTATCAGGGCACAATGAAGGCAGGCAGCTGGCAGCTCCTGCCTTGCAGGCTCCAGCAGCTCCCCTCTGCACGCCGGCAGAGAGAGGCAGGCCCTGCACCTTGGGGTGCTGCAGGAAGGAAAAGGAAGACTTCTGGGGACAGGAGTGTGTAATGGAAAGAGAAGAGACTGCAGCAGTGACAGGGTCGGTCGCTGACCCCAGTGATGTCATGTGCTGTAATGTCTGTTCTGGGCCGGGCACGCTGCCTCTGCCTGCATTGCCTTGTGGCTGCCTGCATCCTGAGCAAGGGGCTGAAATCCTGCCCTGCTCATCTCAGGGACTAGGGTGTGAAATCTGGATCCTCGTGCACAGACTGCATTGCACACAGCACCCAGAGATACAGAGACCTTTGTAGGGGTGAATCCACAAATGGCCTAAGACCCATCAGTGGGGCTTGCTCCCCCAGGCTGTCTGTCCATCCCTGCTAGGGAGGTGTGGAGAGCTCCTGAGGAGGATGTCTGCAAGTCCCACCTGCCTGATGGAGTCTGGAATAATGCTGAGAAGGTAAAGTCTCTTGGGTCCCAGGCTCTAGCACTGCCTAGAGCTGCCTTCTCATGAAGACCTGGCTCCAAAACTCCCTCCTGGACTGGTGTTTGTGTATTTTTTAGAAGAAAATGCATCCCCTCCTTTGCTGTTAGACCAGAACATTTCTGTGTGTTACGCGTGGCGATCACCCAGCCGCTGCTGGCAACTGCTCCTCTGCACCAATTTCTCCACATCTGCACTCAAATCCAGGCAGCTGGCTGGGCTGATGACTCTGCTAGGCCCAAAAGTCGTGTGTGCATTGCAACACCTCCCTCTGGTTGTGGATAGAAGCAATTTGACGGGTCAGTTTTAGTGAAGAATCTCGGACGTTGGAAGACTTGAGAGTTTACACAGAAATACTTCAGCAGTGTTGTGCAAGGAAGGAGGTACCACTGAGGCACGTGGGGGGAAAGGGGAGCAGGGAGATGGGGTACAGACACACCAAGGAGACCTATGCCTTCCAAAAGGAGCATCTGTGGAAGCTGTGGAGCTGATCTGGACAGGTTTCACCTACGAAGTACCTTTGCCAGGAGGGTGTGCTAGCTACCAAGGGCTTCTGAGATCTGAGAGAGGAGGAGCATCTCAGCCTGGTAATGGATGTTACAGCTGGGCACATGCAAAGGAGACAGGTGATTTTAATAGGGGTTTGCAGCTGGGAAACCTGCCTTGATTTGCCCGTGGAGGATAGTGGTAGAGGCTTAGTCTCTTTTCACTGCGCTGTCAGCAATTACAGACAGAGTGCCACAGGAGTACCTGATCTGAACTACAGGAATTTGCACTGTCTGTTTTGCACAGGGTCAGCAAATGCAAGTGCTTCTTCCTTGGCCTTAAAATCCGTGGAAGATAAATACCACGTTTGCAAGTAAGTGTCTTTTCTCACACTGGCTAAGGAATGATTTTAAGGGCTGTAACGAGCAGCTCTGCGTGTCAGCAGCTGCAGTCCAGCAGTGCCACTGCTGACCCTGAGCTGATAAAAGTGGGAGCAGGAGCAGTGGGAGGGTCTGGAGCAGTGCCAGGTGTTAAGGTGAACCAAGAGGGGAAGATGAGGAGCAGGAGCTGTTGTGCTGGAGTGAGATTGAGCCCCAGAGGAGGAGTGCTGTGGTCCCCTGGGTAGCAGGATTGTCTCCAGCTTCTGGGCTTCTGCAGGAATAAGTAGAATAAGTTGGCCCTTTGCCCCAGTAATCCTCTGCATCAGTAGGAATCCTTTAGTCCAGCAAGTATCCTAAGCAAACAAAGTTAGAGAAAAAAGGAGGCTCCACGCTGCCTCCTGTCCAGGAGGCAGCAGGAGTGTTGGTGGGAAGAGATGCTGGAGGTCTGTAGCCCAGTCTGTAAGCAGGGCTGTCCTGGCACTAGCTCACATCACTGGATTTGCACAGCTGAGCCCCAAGAACCACCACAAACAGAGATCCCACCACCTGCTCCAGTGCTGCGCTGGCCTGCTGGTAAAAAAAGCTTTTCCTGATGGATGGCAATGCCTTCCTCCACTGGCATTTCATTAATCAGCTCCACTTGCTGGGTTTCCCCAGCCAGGCAGGGCAGAGCTCAGGAAAGCACTTTCTGCACAGTTTGTGGCATTGCTCTTGCCCGTGCCCTCCCCTGGCTGCACGCAGCAGCAGATCCCCCCAGTCTGACCTTGCTTTCCCAGGTGCAGGGGTGTGGAGGGGAAAAACCAGGAGTGTGTGAGAGGGGAGGATGCTGGCAGAAGGCACGGGCTGCCAGGCACGCAGGCAGGCTGTGGCAGCGCGGGGGACGGGTGACAGGACGTGGCAGCAGGAAGGAGGGAGTCAGCAGCGGCTGAAGGTCACATGCTGGGAGGTTTCCGAGCTGGAACTGTCACTGCTGCTTCAAAACAAGCTTCTTGACTGGGATCCCTTTTGTCCATCTGTCCTTCTCTTTTCCCTGGGTGTTTATTTGGTAGCATTGCTGCCAGGCACATTGCTCCCTACCAGCTGCTGTTGCAGCGCTGGTTTTTGGGAGATGGGAATCTCTTCTGCCTGCCCATGAGGAAAGCCTTCCTGCCCTTCTCTCCCTGGAGAAAAGCACTGCTTGCCACCACTCAGCCCCCCCTAGTCAGAGGAAGAGCAAAGGAACATCTGCTTGAGAAGAGCAAAAGCATTAAAAAAGAGGTGACAGAAAAGCTCACTTCTTCCCCAAACTAAGCCCATCTCGGAGGGACTGAAATCCAGCTGAGCTTCAGTGGTCATGGGTGTGCCAGGGAGGATGCAGATGGTTACTGGTGGAAGTATTATAAATGCACTCTGGGGAGCCTTGAGTCGTGGGCAGGACAGGGGAGACAGGCAGGCCACACGACATAACTGTGGGCAGGAGAGGGGAACAAATTTGATTTGGACTGCTCCCAGGTCAGGATGGCAGAAGAGTAACGGAGGGATGGAGGAGACCTGTAGCCCTGGAGGAGAAGCAGCAGGGAACATACAATAGGCAGACTCTCAGTCACGACTCACAAAGCTGGCCATCCTCAGTGGAGCTGGGAAGTTTCTGGCAGCGTGGATTGAGCTATACACTGGATCCCAAGGGAAGGGCTGTAGCACACTGGAGCATGCCCAGCTCCTTCCACAGAGCTCAGCGTAGGGTGGTGCTGGGCATCTCTTTGAATTCCAACCCACTGCTCGCTCACCCCTTCGGCTCCGTGAGACATCAGAGGCCGCTTGGCGCAAGTGCCACACTCAGCTCCGCTCCTCAAGTCCTGGGGGAACGGGCCAGGAGCACGCAGACAGCAAGGGCACACAGGTGTCCACTTCCATAAAACATTTATGTAGCCATGGATTTGTGCGCATCTCCTCCCACCGGATAATGGGGTGAGGGGCGACGCCGGCGCTTTCTGCGAAACTCACCTGAGGTCGGGGTCAGGGGGTAAGAGGGAATGACCTAAAGAAGGCTACAATAAGGGACATGGAACAATAAGGGACATCACGCCATTGTCCAGCCCGTGGGCGGGCTGCTGGCACGGCAGGGGCAGGGCTGCCCTGGGGGCTCCAGAGAGGACAACGAGAGGCTTTGGGGTGCAGAGACGAAGTTATGCCTTCTCTAAGGGGGGCAGCTCAGGGAAAACACTAAATTCTATGGGAAAAAAAAATATTAAAAAGGAGGCAGAAGCGCTCTGTGTTGCGGCTGGGCTAGTTACGGAAATCGGTAACGGGGGGGGCTTCAGCGAGCGGTGCCGGAGAGGGGCTTCCCTCCGGGGAATCCCGCTGCACCGGGCGGCGTCCCTGCGCCCCGGGGCGCCCCGAAACCCTCGGGGGAGGCCGGGCCGCCCCTGGGCGGGGGCCGGCAGAGGAAAGGGAGGCTCTGCCGCGTCCCCAGCTCTGCTCGCTCCGCCCGGGGCCCCGCCGCCGGGGCCGGCCGGGCGCATCCCCCCGCCCGGCGCTCCCCGCCCCGTCCCGCCGCCGCCATGAACCCGCTCTTCGGCCCCAACCTCTTCCTCCTGCCGCAGGAGCAGCAGGGGCTGGCGGGCCCCGAGCTGCCGCCGCCGCCCGCCGCCGAGCCGCTGTCGGCGGAGCCGCCCGCCGGCCCCTTCCCCGCGCCTCCCGCCGCCATGGCCCTCCGCAACGACCTGGGCTCCAACATCAGCGTCCTCAAGACGCTGAACCTGCGGTTCCGCTGCTTCCTGGCCAAGGTCCACGAGCTCGAGCGGCGCAACCGGCAGCTGGAGAAGCAGCTGCAGCAGGCGCTGGAGGAGGGGGCGGGCGGCCGCGGCCGCGGGCCCCCGCGCCGGGACCAGGCGGTGCAGACCGGCTTCGTGGGTCCCATCCGCACCCTGGGGCTGGGGCTGGGGCCGGGGCTGGGGCTGGGCTCGGCCCGGGCGCTGGGGTCGCCCGGCTCCCGGCCCGGCGGTCCCGGCCAGCCCTCCGCCTACTCGGCCGGCTCCCGCTTCATGCCCGGCACCATCTGGTCCTTCTCGCAAGCGCGAAGGCTCGGCCCGGGGCCCGAGACCACCCTGGTGCAGGGACCCGGCGTCTCGTGGGTCCATCCCGACGGGGTGGGTGTGCAGATCGACACCATCACCCCCGAGATCCGAGCGCTCTACAACGTGCTGGCCAAGGTGAAGAGGGAGCGCGACGAGTACAAGCGCAGGTGAGAGGGAGCGAGGGGTTCCCCGGGACACCGAAAGGACACCGAAGCTGTCCCCGGGGAGGCTGCCCGGGGGGCGATAGGGAAGGCGACAGTCCTGGCCAGACTTTTCGGGAGCGCGGGCTGCAGGCAGCATGAGGAAAAATGCGCACCCCTGAAAGTGTTTGTTTGTGCCTGGGTCTCCTCCCTTGCCACCCGGCGTGCGAACCCTCTCGGGATGTTTGTTGAGCTTTTTTCCGTCTTTCCAACCTTCCGTCTTTCCAACCTGGCGTAAGGGACGCTTTTCCAGGCAGGGGAGGAATAACTCCAGGAGCTGTGTTTTAAAGCTAAGGGGATCTGGGAATGCTCAGGAAGGAGGAGCAGGCTGAAAGTAGGTGAGGAAGGTGGACACGCAGCAGTGAGCGGGTTTGGATTGGGGAAGGCTGCTGGGAAGGAAGGAGTTCTCTGGATGTGTCGGAAGGTGTGCAGAAGCCCCTCAGCAGGATGGCTGGCCTCTCCTAGGCCCTTTCCTGGCCAGTGCTCTCCAGCTGGCCCCTGAGCAGCAGAGATCCGAGGCAGGACACCCCACTCCTCAGGGGCTTTCCTCCTGACCCAAAATAGCTGTGGCTTGGCACGTGCCTTGGAGAAGGGTGAAGCAGAATGCAAAGCTAATCTCTTGGCCGGTTCTTCTTTCCCGTGCAGGGTGGCCGCTGCTCTTGCTTTGTGTCAGGCCAGTTCCCGAGGCCTCTCCCGGATCCGCACGTAGGATGAGATCAGGCTGGGCTGGCATTGTGGGGTCAGAGCACAGGGCCGGGCCAGAGCGTCACCGGCGACTGACACCACCACTGCTCTGGGGTGTTTTCAGAAGTCATGCTATGACGCTTTAGAAAGTTTGTGATTCCACACCCAGCTCCCCACAGGAGCTGTGCCACCGACCCGTTCTGCACGGCCACGGGCTCCAGTGCCAAGATCAAGGCTGGGGTCCAAGATGACACCTTATGCTTTTGGCTTTGTAAGGCTTAGGCTGAGCAAACCTGCCTGTCAGATGCTCTGGAGGTGCTGAGCAAGGTATGTGGAAAGGAAGAGTTGGCATCTCTTCTTTCCCACCTACTGCTGCATGTACCTAAGGCCTTTTATTATTAAGCCAGTGGTCAGGCTCCTTCTCCAGAGAAGAGCAGCACTCCTTGCATTGCATTTTTAGATCAGAGAGTCGGAAGCTGGAGCCAGTTTTTTGGCTAGGAAAGCTTGAGCCTCAGAGTGGGTCAGCCAAGTTGTGTTTGTTGGTGCTGCTGAAACTTTGGGAGAATGGAGAGCTTTTCAGGGTTGTCCTGCTCTGGCAAGTGAGCTTCAGGGAAGGCTGCAGAGGGGGTGACAGAGGGACTGCTGAGGGTGAGGTGGGGGGGCACCACAAGCTGCTATCAGCCAATGTTATTGGTGGGATCTATTTTTGGAGTGTGTTACCAGGAGCTGGGGGAAAGCAGACCCCACCCCCAGACCCTGTCCAGAACTGGGAACTTCCTGACGGGTACAGCCAGGTCCCAAACAGGGGAATGGGACAGAAGGATTCCATTTCCACACCCTTCTCCATGATGGGGGCTGACACCAACATCCCTTGGGAGCTGAGAGTTCCCTGCCACAGTGGGTTGTGATCTGCCATGGGGACAGTGCAGCTGGTGTCACGCATTTTCCACCTGCCTGGAGACAGATGGAAGAGGCCATATTAACACAGGACTTCCCAGTTCTCTTACCCATGGCTTGGGTGCTGGAGCTTTTGTGCTTTTGTCAGGACAGCATTGCTTCTGTGTGCCCCACAGCACTTGGAGCAGTGCAGCAGGAGCTTCTCTCTGGATACACAGGGCCTGAAATTCAAGTCAGGGATCCAGGAGGGCTGTGGGGAGGGATGAGAATACTTGCAGCAGCAGGAGGGAGGCTCACAGGAGCTGCACTTGGGAGGAGCAGACTGAAATTGGGTGGCCTGGGTAGGGGCAAAGGGTGCCTGTGAGTATCACACAGACCTGCTAAGTGCTGGGGATCTGAGAGTCTCATCAGGTTTGTGCTGTCTGCTACACCTACTCCTTGTATTCACAAGTAGTTCTTGTCCTGGATGTTGCAAGGACACACTGGAGGTGTGGAGTGAGCAGTGCTGCAGCACGGTGTGTTAGAGTCACGGAATGGTTTGGGTCAGAGACCTTTAGGGGTTACCCACTCCTTTCTCCCTGCTGTGAGGTTTCACTAGATCAGGTTGCTCAAAGTGCTGACCTTGAACATTTCCAGTGATAGGTCATCCACAACTTCTCTGGGCAACCTGCTCCAGTATCTCACCACCATCATAAAAAATTGTTCCTTATGTCCCATCTAAACTTACCTTCTTTTAGTTTAAAAATCACCTCTTGTCACTGCAGGCAAAAGGTCTGGTACAAAGTCTCTCCATTCTTATAAGGCACTAAGGCCCCTTGTTTATTAAAGTGCTTCAAGAAGGTTTTTTGTTGTTGTAATTGCCCTCTGAGGAGCTGTGCCAGGCTGCAGGGCCATCCCCATTGAGGTGAGCTCCAGCACAGTTCAGATGTGGCAGGAGGGGGGATAAGTGGAGCTTCCCTGAGGATAAGACCCCGAGCAGCCCAAAGCCCCAGTGTGCACTGACCTGCAGGACGGGCTAAAGCACCCCAGTGCCTGTGGCAGTGAGCAGGATTTTTAAAAATGGGGGAATTGTTGATTTTTCTAAGTGAACTTGTCGAAGGGACACACCTGGCAGGGACAGCAGTGCATCTTTCCACGTCTCTGGCTTTGGGAGAGCTGTCCCCTAGCTGGCAAGGAGATGGTCAGGTCTGCGTGCAGCTGAGACCCTGCTGCCCTTGCTGGCTGCCTCTGGGCAGGTTGTTGCTCTGCAGCAGTGCAGGGAGGCCCTGCCCTCTCCCCCTGGCACACCGGTGGCCCTGGGGTGCTGCGGGGCAGCCTTGCTTCCAGCTGGCAGCGACCTGGCAGCGGCGGCTGCGGGCGCAGTGATGCACCACTCCTAATAATAGGAGTGGTGCATTGCAGGAGGGAGCAGGGGAGAAGGAGCCAGGCAGGAGATGAGCAGGAGAGAGGTTTGCAGCGGATGGGTGCGTGGATTTGTCCCTGGTGGGGTGAATTGCTGTTTTCTCCTGCTTTTCAAGCTGGTGTGTATGTGACTTGCACTCGTCTTCCACAGCACTGGTGTGAAATGGACTCTTACCAGGCTTTGCAGCTATGCTTTGTGTCCCCAGTGAGTCTGGGCTATATAGGGGACCCAGAGGGAGGCGGGGACCAAAAAAGAGGCAGTGCCACACCAAGAAAGATGCTGAAGTTTTTTTATTCTGTTGGAAGGCGTTTTTTGTCCCTAGGGAGGGAGGCTTTGTTTGAGCAGTTCCCATATAAGGGCAATTCTACCTTTTAACTTTCTCCTTTCTTTTCCATTCATGTCTCTTTCCCCGGAGGGATGGGAACACTCTTTGATTCCCCTTCTGAAGCTGTGGTATGGATCCAACACCAGCACGAGGAGTGCACACTTTTGTCCTTGTTTGAGTAAGGAGCAGCATTGCTAGCTTTAAGAGCTTAGAAATTCATAAGCCAGTGCTCTCCCACGTCGTCAGATTGTCCAGATACTCTGAGATAACAAATGTGAGGGCTTTTCATATGCTTTCTGGCCTCCCAGACCTTAGGATTTATTGTTCAAACTTGGAGTGGGTAAGTGAGAGGAGAGATTTTTCACATCCTTGTGCAGAGTCGGAGTGTCTGTGTTGGTGCTTGCAGGCATTAAATAGAAACCAGACCTCACAGCACCAGGAAGAGCCCAGCTCTGGTTGCTATCCCAGAGTGATCTCACTTGTTCAGAAAAACCTGGCTCTCCCAGAAGAGCCAGGAGCTGGGTAAGAATGCAGCAGCCCTGCCCCACGCCGCAGCGCAGCACATGGCACCCCCCTGCTCTATGGGATCGTCATTTGGCCAAGAGCAGCACGGCTTGATGGCCTCCCCGCAGACCACGGGCTGGGCCAGCACTGCAGCGAGACCCGAGGGGTTGATCTCATGCAGTGAAATATAATACAATAATTGCTAGGGGATGTGTCTTTGCACAGCAAGGCTGGGCGCCCTTGCAGCTCTGCTTTTTGCAAAGCTGCAGAGCCCAATACCCACCGGACAGCCCGGCACAGAGTGGCACAATCCATCCTGCTTCCCTGTGGGATGACACAGTGTTCTTTAATCCAGCCTGTTAGGCAGCAGTAGAGCCAAGGAGTCTTGTGCCCCTGCCGAGGCAGCATGGCCTGGCCCAGGGCAGCCCTCTGCACCGGGACAGGCAGAAGAGCAGCCCTTGGTGCCCATCGTGGTCACTCACACTGTGAGGTGGTCTGGTGTCAGGATCAGGGTGAGCTGCAGACACACAGACGTGATCACAAAAACGATGCAGGTGGGGGCAGCTCTGCAATACATCTGCAGAGCTGCTGTTGAGGGTCGGAGGCCTCAGGGGCAGAGGGAGAGGCCGGTGGGCTGTGATGGCCACGGCCAGCTGCCGTGCCGAGCCGGTGTCCCCAGCTCCCCCCATGGCCGTGCTGGGGCAGCGTTTGTGGCCGGGGGCCGATGGGCTCGGCAGCTGCCACGGCCTGAAAACAAGAGGCCGTGCATTCCTGGGCACGTTCTCCGTCCCGCCCTGGTGCTGCCATCCCCCCGCTCGGATAGCTCTGGGGTGAGCAGCTGCCGCTCCGTCCTCTCCCTCTGGCAGCCGGCGAGGCGAGGCCGATGGGATCTGACCGGCGTTTGTCTCCCTAGATGGGAAGAGGAGTACACGGTGCGTGTCCAGCTGCAGGACCGGGTGACTGAGCTGCAGGAGGTGAGCCTTGCTGTTCCCCCTTCCCCTGCAGCCCAGCTGCCCCACACTGGTGCTGATCTGCACATCTCTCTCGCCCTGGCGCAGGAAGCGCAGGAGGCTGAAGCCTGCCAGGAGGAGCTGGCCATGAAGGTGGAGCAGCTCAAGGCAGAGCTTGTTGTCTTCAAGGGACTCATGAGCAATGTGAGTCCCTAATCCCTCTCCAACCCCACAGCAGTGTCCTGCCCACGTGGTGTGGCTGTGTTGAAAAGCAGTTCCTTGGTGGGGCCCATTGAGCACTGGCAGGGTTGGTCTGGGGCACAGTGAGCAAAGCAGGGATGAGGGAGCAGTCCTGCGTGAGGGGAAATGTGGGGGCACTGATTGCCATCTCTCTTGCCTAATATTCCTCCCTGTCCCCTTCCTGTGGTGCTGTGGGTTCAGAACATCACGGAGCTGGACACCAAGATCCAGGAGAAGGCCATGAAGGTGGACATGGACATCTGCCGTCGCATCGACATCACTGCCAAGCTGTGTGATGTGGCACAGCAGCGGAACTGCGAGGACATGATCAAGATGTTTCAGGTGAGAAGCGCCCGCTGCTGCTTCCAGCTCAGCCACCAGCTCTGGGGAGGAGAGATCCCAAAGCAGGAGGTAGAAGAGACAGCACCAGCCCCCTGCTAGGGGAGACGCTTGGTCACCCTCGCCCTTGCTCCTTCTGGTCCCTTGCTTTCTGTCTCTCTTGGGAGGACCAGGCAAAAGGGCACAGAGTGGAGATGGAAAGCTCCAGATGTTGCTTTGGACATCAAGAGTCCCCTCAGCCTCTTGCTGACCTGTTGTGTTGGGCCCGGGGACCCCACAGAGCTAGGGAAACAGCTGCAGGAGGGAGACAAGGTGCTTGAGTGTCTGTCTCTAACTCCATCTCTCTCCTTTCCCTTCCCCTCTCCGTCATCTTCTCTCTGTCTCTCTTCTCTGTCTCTGTCTCTTTTCTCTTTCTGGATGTTGCTGCCTTTCTGTCTCGCTCTTTGTCCCTACAGAAGCAACTGGTTAGTTCCATTCAGTTGAGAAATTAAAAAAATTATAAACTTTCTTTAAAAAAGGTCGGCCTATAAATATTGACATATTTCACCTTTTTCAGACTGTCTCTTTTTTCCTGTTTCTGTCACTGTGTTTCCCTGTCTCTGGACTGGGGTGGTGGGCGATTTGAGTTTTTCTGCAGTAAAACCACATTGTTTGTTTTCTCATCAAATTCATAGATTCCATCTTTAGTTGCTTAGTTTTAATTTTAGAAAATGCTAAAACCATGTTTTATCCATTGCAACCATCTTTAACCTGATCATAATGAGCCCATCTCTCTCTCTCTCTCTCTCTCTCTCTCTCTCTCTCTCTTTTCTTCCTTCCTTTCTTTCTGTCTTTCTCTCTTTCCCTGCCTTTCTGTCCCTGCACCATTCCTCTCCTTTCCATCTCCTCCCCACTGCCTGCTCCTGACCTCGGACCCGGCCTCGTTTCTGTAGTCTCTGCACTTGTCTCCCGTTAAGGTCCCAGCCTCGGTGGGGCGGAAGCGGGAGCGCAAGCAGGTCAGCGACGAGGACACCTCGCTGTCGGAGAGCGATGCCTCCCGGAAACCTGAGGAGGAGGAGGAGGACGAGTCCACGGCCATGAGTATCAATGAGGAAATGCAGAGGATGCTGAACCAGCTGTGAGTGCAGCTGCTCTGCACCTCTGCCCGTGCTGTCCAGCCAGGCTCCAGCAGCAGGCTCCCTGCTGCTCCTGGGGTGGGGAGGGCAAGGGTGGTCTGTGGCTTCCCTTCCCAAGATGAGAGGTGCTGCTGTGGAGAATGGTCACCCTGTGCTCTGTGGCACAGTGGGACTGACCCCCTGGGAGAGCTGAGCCCACCTGTGCCGAGAGTGGGAGCTGGTTCAGCTCCCCTTCTCTCACCCTGCTTCCTGCCTTTTGGGAATCTGGATTTGCTGGAGCCTCTGACCATAAAACCAGCCCCTTTCCCATCAGCTGTTGGGTTTGGGCACACCTGTGTTCACCCTGCCCAGACCCCCAAGAGCTGCAGCCCTGCCCATGAGCAGGGCGAGGCTTTGGCACCAACACAGCCCCCTGCCTGCTGTGCTCTCCTGCTGGGTGCTGACGTGCTGTTCCCTTCTGCCCAGGAGGGAATATGACTTTGAGGATGACTGTGACAGCCTCACATGGGAGGAGACGGAAGAAACGCTGCTCCTCTGGGAGGACTTCTCTGGATACGCCATTGCAGCCGCAGAGGTGCAGGGGGAGGTAACCGTGGTGTCAGGGCCCTGAGGTCTTGTTGGGTTGGATGCTCGATCCTGCCTCAGCCTGGAAGACGCTCTCTCAAAGACCAGATTTCAGCCCCTTTCCCTCTGCAGGCCTGTACAAGATGCTCTCCTGCCTTTTCTGCATGAATACATTACAGCTTCCCTGTTGAGATCTCTGTTTTAGAGACAGGCCAGGGACATGTAGCCTGAGGGGTGTGCTGAGGTCGGGGTGCACACATGTGGGAAGAGCCACAGCCCATCCAGAACAGAACACTTCCTCTGGCTGGACTGGTCTCTGGTGATCCTTGCTCATGTTCTCCAGCCCACGAGCCCACTGTGCAGCAAAACTGCCCGAAGAGGGGCCTTGGTGTCTGGCCAAAGCCCTTGTCATCCCGAATCTTTGGCTCTTGGCAGTCCCCTGGGGATGCTCAGGAATAGTCTGTGCTCTCCAAATCTTCAGTGCATTGCTGGGCTTGTTTGGGCTGATGTGGTCACTGCCTAGTATGGCGAGTCCTGAGTCTCTCAAGTCCATGTTGACAGGACTGACTCCTGTCTTATTTGTACTACACTGGATATATTTCTTCCTCTTTTCCCTGTGCTGCCAGTTCTTTCTCTGATTTGTGTCTCTCTTGCCTTTGGTTCCTCATGTTGGACGCTTCCCTGCCTCTAAACCTGCTGTCTGCTCTCCTCAGCAGCAGGATGACAGCCTGGAAAAGGTGATTAAGGACACGGAGTCGCTGTTCAAGAGCCGTGAGAAGGAGTACCAGGAAACCATCGACCAAATAGAGGTGGGAGGAGGAGGAAATGGGGGAACCATGGCACAGGAGGATGTGAAATGGGGGAGTGGGTCCCTGGGGGAGGGATGCTGGAGCAGGTCACTTGGGTGACAGCCCTTGGTCTGGCCATGCCTGCTGCCCTGCACCACGTGCCCTGAGATAATCTCTGCACCATTTCCCTTGAGCAGCTGGAACTGGCCACAGCCAAAAATGACATGAACCGGCACCTGCACGAGTACATGGAAATGTGCAGCATGAAGCGAGGCTTGGATGTGCAGATGGAGACGTGCCGGCGGCTCATCACCCAGTCTGGGGACAGGTGAGCTTCAGCAGGAGAGCCAGGACGCCCGTGCCCTGGGCCCGAAGCCAGGGTGGTGCTGAGGGGGAGCTGGAGGACATGGTAGAACTCCTGCCCTGCCCTCGTGTGCTGTGGGGAGAGGGCAGTTCCCAGAGGCTGTTGGACTCCTGGCTGGCCTCCACACAGGTCATGGGGCAGCCTCTGCAGAAGGTAGGAGACACACAGGAGTCACTCTTGACACATGAAGGCAGACCCCCCTGATGGAGAGAGGAGCTGCCATTGTGCAGGGACATTGTGTAAATCCCCAAAGTTTTGGAGCCAGGGTGGCTCCAGGCTGGGGACCCCTGTGGTGGACTTCCACAGACCCCTAGCCTTGCATACCTTGTCAAGGTCCTGTTCTGGGCAGGCCCCTCCAGCATCTCCCCTCGCTCTGCTTCATGCTCTGGAATGGTGTCCTCTGGAACACCCTCCCAAAGGATTCCTGCAGCCTGCAGACACACACACACACGCCCAAAAGGGCACTTCAGCTTCTGTCCTTCTTGCTCTGGTGACCTCTGCCCACACCAAACTGGGTCCTTTCCCTCACCCTGGGCGATGCTGTGACTGCTGCCCTTTGCTGTTCTCTGCAGAAAGTCTCCTGCCTTCACCCCGACCTCCAACAGCGAGTCAGCCCCGAATGAGGAGAGCGAGGAGTCTGACCGTGATCCCCCCAGCGATGCTTCCATCAGATAATGAGGGGAGGCCCGGCTCCCTCGGACCCCCTTCCTGGCACGGGGTTGCCTGAGTCACACCTGGGAGAGACTGTCAGGGACGTGGAACTGCTGGTAACCGTCTGTCGCCCAGGCTCACTCCCGTTTTGGGGTGCTTGGCAGATCCCACACACCCCCTCACCGGATACCTTGCAAATGGGAATAGCTAGATAGACCTGAGGGCCCTTGCCCGGGCTGCTCTGCCTTCAGCCCCTTCTCTATTCCCTTTCCCTGCTTTGGTTAAACCGTGGTTCGGGCAGGGAGGCTCCAAACCTGCCATGGTGGCGTTCTGCAGGACCTGTTCCGAGGCGCCCCCAGACCCACCTCCTCTGGCCTCCGTCCTGGTACACCTGACCTGCCCCTGCCCTCCCTGCGCTGCACGGAGCCGAACGAGAGCCGTACCTCCCTGCAAACTGGACCTGACACTGGTGCCAACTGGACCGAGCCCGGGGCTCTCCCTGTCCTTGCTGCTGGCCGGGCGCCTGGCTGGTGCCCACGCCGTGCCGGGCGCCCCGAGCCCTCCCACGCCTTCTCCAGGGCGGGGGCCGAGTCCCACTCACTGTGCACTTTGCTTTGCCGCCCGTCGGCGATGCGCTCACGTCTGTGTTACGGGGGCGAGGTCATTAAATGGGACAGTTTCCTTTTCTACAGCTCGGCTGGGTGTGGGCTCTCCCTGTGCTGCCGCGGGCGACGCGTGCCTTGAGGCGGGGCTGTGTCCATCAGACCCCAAGCCCGCAGCAGTGGGTCTCCCCATGGCAGTCCCGGGTGGGACAGCGGTCAGATCCCTGTTCTGAGAGCCACTGGCCCTCAACAGGCACTGGTGCTGCCTTGTTTTCAACCCACAGCATCATCAATGCAGAGGCTGAAGGATTGAAAATGGAACTGATCCTGGCTTGTGAATGTCTTCCTATTTCCTGGCCTCTTCTGCCACACCAGGGCATCCCAGAGCACCTTCCTGCCTGTCCTCAGTCCCATATCCCACCTCAGTGTAACTGCAGTGGGGGATCCCCTGTCCCACCGTCTCCTGTGGCATTGTCCTGGCTGGCTGCAGCACCTGCTCCTCTGGTGATGGTGATGGAGGCTGGGGCCTGCAGGGTGTCAGGAGGGAGCGAGCAGCCTCCAGAGAGGCAGTGTGATCCAGAGAGGCAGTGTGGGCACTGAGAAGTGGATACAGCCTGCACAGCCAAGGCAGGTGAAGCTCTGGAGAAAAAATGCTTCCCACTAAAGGTACTGAAGGGAAGAGGAAGTACCTGGCAGTAGAGTTTTTGGATCATCACTAAGATTAGGTATGGAAGATAAAATGGGGGCTGAGGGATGCAAGATTCTCTCTGTAGCTGTGGCCTGGCTGGCTGATGCTGCTGGGTGCTTGAGCTGGGAGCGCTGTGGCATCCATGCACTACAGCAGTGTCCATGTTCGGGCAGGGTGAGGTGCTCTGCCCGTGCCTGCCCCATTGTTAAGGCGTGTGTTGGCATTTCAGCAGGGGCTGAGCTGGTTGGAGCAGGCAGGGAGGCGAGTCCCTGCAAATGGCAGAAGAATTGAGCAGGAAACAGGAAATAAGGGAGCAGGTGGAGCGCTGTTGGTGCTGGGGAATGGCAGTTCCTCAGGCTGTGGTCTGCTGCAGCTCCTGACTGCTGTCTTCACTTCTTGCAGGAAGTTGGGAAAGTGTTTCACGGGAGCAGCAGGGTGCTGGGAAGCAGCAGAAGCCCTGGCTGCCTGTGGGTCTGTGGGTAGATGGGAGCTGCGTGCCTCAGTGCCTGCCATGGCCCTCACCTCTATGCCACCTTGCTCAGCTGTTTCCATTTCTTCCTGTCTTCCCTCTTTATTTTTCTACCTAAAAGAGCTGAAGCCAGAGGAAATATTTTACTATTTCAGTTTTCTGCTTTCAAGTGATGATGCCTCACACACACAGTAGATGAGGGTTCACTTCCTATCCTGTCTGGAGGATCTTCAGTTTCATGCAATTCCCCTTTCCTGTAGGCATCTTTGCAGTGTTTTCTTCTCTTTCTCTCCTGAGGAGAGTTCTGTGAGTGGCTGACGACTTCTGGCTTCCCCCGTGCATAATCCAGGACACGCATACCTTTGCCTTGGTCCTGCTTAAGGAACCCACAAGACTGCAGAGTACACACCCTGAGAGATTTCAGGCATGAAGCACGGGAGGACTGACATCTCTGCCTCGAGCAGTCATTGCCCAGGGGAGCAGCAGGTGACAGACACCCATGTCCCAGGACACGCGGCGACCCTGCTCCCACACTGCCTGCCAGGACTCTGTTTGCAGTGAAACCAAAATCTCTGCCACCCACATGTGCAAGATGCTGTTCCCTGGTGCATTGTATCACCAGCAAGGGGCTCTGTTCCCCCACCAGTCTGACAGCCTCCAAGATCTCCCTGGCAGGATATGCGGCATGGATCCTCTGCCTCAGCAATTCCTCGGTATGGGAAGCACCGCCCAAGGCCCCTGGTGTTAGCTGGGCCACCTACCTGTCTAACTGTGGTGACCCCACATCTTTGATGCTGAAATGAGATGTGGTCCCTCCATCTACTGAGTTCTTCTCTGTGGGCTCCTTTTCCTTCTTTGGGGAGTATCGAGCCTGCTCTTCTGCACCACACACCCTGCTGGGAACTGCGATGTCCAGGAACTGCGCAGTGCGGCGTTGCTTCTTGAGTCCCTAGAGTCACCTCTGTTCCAGGACGCCTCTCGGCAGTGCCAGCTCAGGAAGCACTCTCGAGTCCTGTCTAGCTCAGTGTCGGTGCATTAATGTGAGTGTTTTATACCCAAGAGCAGTCTGAGCACAGACTGAGTGGGGTTCCATGGCAGGGTGCATCTGGGCAGTCCCTCTGCCAGCATTCAGCTCAGGACTGTGGCTGCTGAGTGCTGACCTCTTGAACATTTAAGAACTTTTAGGATTGTATCTCTGGGCTGGCAATAAGGTCTTCCCCCTGAATATTTAGGCAGACTGGTTCATCAGCTTCTTACCCCTCAGGAATGCTGGAAGGAAGATTCTCCCTTGGACAGGGAGAATTGGGTTAGAGATCACCTAGGGAAATGGGATATCCACAAATCCATGGCCCTTGTAGGGATGCATCCACAGTGCTGAGGAGCTGGTGAACACCATAGCAGTCATCTGTGAAGGGTCTGACATCAGGAGAGGGGCCTGAGGCCTGGAAGAAAGCAAATGTCTCCCCACTCTTCAAAGAGGCCAAGAAGGAGGACCCAGGAAACCAGTCAGCCTCACCTCAATCCAGACTGATGGAGCCCCTCATTCTTCATTCTGGAGGTTATCTCTAAGCATGTGGAATGCAGGAAGGTGATCAGGAGAGTGGGCTTGACTTCACTAAATGCAAATTATGGCTGACCAACATGATTGCCTTCTACCGTGAGACAACCGCCTGGAGGGTTGAGGGCAGAGCAGGGGATATTGTCTACCTCGACTGCAGCAAGGCTTTCAATACTCTCTCTCACAAGATCCTCATAGACAAACTTAGGAAGTGTGGAGTGAATGAGTGGGCAGTGAGGTGGGTTGGGAACTGGCTGAACAGCGGATCCCAGAGGGTCACAGTCAGTGGCACAGAGTCTAGCTGAAGGCCTGTCACTAGTGGTGTCCCACAAGGTTCAGTACCAGGCCCATCCTTATTTTACTCATCAATGACTTGGATGAAGGGTAGATGCTTCCTCATCATGTTTATTGATGGCACCAAGCTGGGAAAAGTGGCCAGTACTCCAGTGTCCTGCAGAGGGACAGGTTGGAGAGATGGGCAGAGAGGAACCTTCTGAAATTCAGCAAAGGCAAATGCAGGGCCCTACATGTGTGGAAAAATAACCCCGTGTACCAGCAAAGGCTGGGGGCTGACCTGCTGGTGAGCAGCTCTTCAGAGAAAGACCTGGGGATGTGGACAAGAAGCTCCCCATGAGCCAGCAGGTCGTCCTGGTGTCCAAGAAGCCAGTGTTGTCCTGGGATGCATTAGGAGGAGCACATTGCCAGCAAAGCAAGGGAGGTGAGGCTCCACTCAGCCCTGGTGAGGGGAATCTGCAGTGCAAGAGAGACATGGAGCAGGTCTAGCAAAGGGGAATGAAGATTATTAGGTGAGGAAGTGCCTCATGAGGAAAGGTGAGGGAGCTGGGCCTGTTCAGGCTTGATAAGAGATGTCTGAGAGGGGACCTCATCAATGTCTATGAGTATCTGCAGGCTGGGTGTCAGAGGAAGGAGCCAGGCTCCTGTTCTTGGTGGTGCCAAGAAGACATGAGACAATGGGCAAAAACTGGAACAGAGGAAGTTGCACCTGAACAAAGGAAGGACTTCTTTACTGTGCAGGTGTCTGAGCACTGGAGCAGATTCCCCAGAGAGGTTGTGGCGTCTCCCTCACTGCAGATATTCCAGAACCATCTGGAGGCAATCCTGTGCCATATCTTTGGGATAACTCTGCTTGAGGAGAGGGGTTGAGACCAGATTACTCCAGTGGTAGTTTCTTCCATCCTTACCCATTCTGGGATTCTGACCAGGCCCACTAAATTTCTTGATGAATCCTAGCAGATGTTTCCACAGAGAGGGTGGGGAACATCACTTTCCTTGCACCTGACCACACGAGTGTGGGATGGTGCTTTACTTGCTTCAGTGGGTTCAGGAAACCTAACCACTAAGTAGCCTACATCTTCTTCCTTGCGTTACCCTCCCTTCACTGATTCCTGGATCCCATCTCTTTTAGATCCTATCACTGAAAGAGTCTGACTTGTCTGTCGAGTCAGTCAAGGTCCTGTGTTTTCCACCCAGCACCCTCCTGCTGGAGGCACTTTGTCACTCATCCCGCATGACTCGCGGTGGTGTGAGTTACCCTTCCCCATATCAGGATTCCTTGGATGGACCCAGATGGGATGCTGACAGCCTTCACCAGAACACCTTTGGGTTCCAGCTAACCTGTTTTATTATTTTATTTACCATGTTTCTTAGTCAAGAGTTAGGAGAGGACAAAGCTGCATAGAAAGGTGTTCTTGTTTCTCGGTTTGATCCGTAAGCTTGACTTTCCTAAGCCTTTTGCCATACTCTTTGTACATTTATGGTTGCTGTGTCTCAGGTACCTGTGACACAGGGTGCCCCAGAACTCACCGGTGATGACCAAGTAGGTCAAGTACTCTGGCTACAGGGAAGAAACTTCCTTTCAAGAGGAGAGGTCAGAATTAATGCAGAACACGGTGGAGGTACTGTCTCCTTGGGAATACACCTGGATGATGCAGGGACATGCTCCTGAAAACATCTGGCAAGCTGCTGCACGTGATGATTAACGCTAGGAGTGATGGTAAAGCCATCAGGGTCAAGCTGGACAAATGTCACAACAGATGGGAAGAGGCAGCATTTCCAGCTTCGAGAGCAGACTGCATCTGGGCAAAGTGCAAGAGGAAATAGAAATCAGCAGGGTAGGAAGAAATGTAGTTAACTGATATTTTTAAGGGTCACAGCCATATAGTAGAACTGCTAGATCAGTCTGACCTGTTGGATAAGGGAGTGAATTTGGTTTACAAGTGATGTTAAAAGTCATATTCACTCTATATATCTATATATAATATATAGATATATATAATCTATAGATAGAGTTGATAGCCAAACATGCTCTGACATACAATTTCATCAAGGCATTGAAGGGTCTTCTATAAATACTCCTGAATCCCCCCAAAAAACATTTATTTTTTAAATATCTGCCTGTTTTGCTTTGCTTAAAGAAAAATTATGTTGTCAATAGGAGACTTTGGCTTGGGATACCAAAGAATATGCTGTGCCAGGGGGAATTTCTCATCAATTTACAAGTGATGGAATGCCCAAGTAAGGCAATGATTTTGTATGTCCTTATGACAGATGAAGATTGGGTAAAGATTGATGGTTGCCTAAGGACAAGGGATCAACCGAGAAACAAATTGAGACATCAGCCAGGACAAAATGTCACAGCTGAGAGCTGTGTGTTGTCCTGTAACTTCTCCTTAGAGTGAAACAAGTGAACTTGCAGATCTGGAAACAGCAGTATTTTTCCAGTTTTTCAAAAAGCTGTGATTTAGTAACATAAAATAACTTTTAGTGAGTGAACTTCCTTGAGTAAGTGACCATGTGACAAAAGTACTTAGAAATAAGAATAACTGATAGAAATAATAATAAAGCTTGACCTACATGAACAAAAAATAATCCTTGTAACAACTACGACAACTGTGGTTAGGAGAAAAGGAATAGAGGGACAAGAGAATATTCAGCTGTCTGAAGAAAAGGTCTTCAGCTGCTTGTATCACCTCAGAGAAAAATAACAATACTTGAATGTTTAAGGAACTAACATGCTGTTCTAGTTATATTTAAAGAAAAATCAATCCTAACAGTAATATTTTCTTTTTATTGGCTGAAATCAGGAAAATAATCAAAACAAGACAAAAAAGAAGAGAAGTACTCACCAGATAAGTCTGCTCTGTGTATGGAAAATGCAGAATGTGCTCAGAGGGGAATGATGAAGCACTTTCCAGGCAGTTAGCAATAAGGAGGATCTTTGACAGGATCTCCAGCTGAGCACTGCTGCAGTTCCAGGCACAGATGACCTGGAGCACACTAACCTGAGGGTGCATGGGGTGCTGTAGGGATGAGCAAGCCCCCACACAGAGCCTGAGGCTGCCTGGGGAGTTGGAGTGAGCAGTGCTGAAAGCAAAAGCTCCCGCAAACGGTGTCTGCACAGCGCGGTAACCTCCACCCCGAGAGAAAAACACTGGCTGCTGAAATCCGTGGTTTGCTGAGGTCAGTTTTTAAAAGCATCAGGGAAGTCATTTAAAGAAAAGCCTGGGTGGATGGGCAAGCAAATGACGTCAGTGCTTAGTCTGACAGAGCATGGATGAAAGCCAATGAGAAACCAGTGGAGGGGGGAGGAGGCGGGAAATCATGAAGGGATGGGAAAAAATCTGCAGTTTAAGGAATATTTATAGAAGGGCAAGGAATTGACAGACAAAACTGATACCATTTTTGATATGTGGAAATGACACAGACTCTCAAAAGAGCTAAATGTCTTGGTCAAAAGTGCCAGGAAGCATTGCAGAATATTTCTGAATAGGGTGAAAAGAGAAGTTCTGTTGCCAGACATACATAGCCATGCATAGATACATCCAAGAGCAAGAAATAGTGACTGACCTTGCCTGGGAGAACAGAAGGGTTGGGAAGACCTAGGGAGCTGGGCTTACGTGCAGTCATGTGCAAGTTCTCAGCCAGACACTGAGGATGTCTTTAAACATCTTTTATCCACATGTCACATTGGTGTCCTTTGTCCTGCTTTGCATCAGAAATTGGAAGAGATGGACCAAAGACACCTAACCATGATTCCAGGCTGGAAAAAATGTTTTGAAAGTGAAAAGTTTAGTTCCTTTGCTCCTAAAAAGAAAGGCAAGTGAGCATTTTCGCACAGTGCCTGAGATCCCTTCATGATGTTGGTCTAGGTGGCAGTTTAGTCAGGCTGATAAAGGCGTACGAGGATTCTGAGGAGATGGGGAGGCTGGAGGCCTTGTGAGATTTGGTACTTGGTGTCCAGCACCTAAACCAATATCCAGCTTGGCAGCTAAAAAACTGGAGACTGCAGAGATACACACCACCTTTTTTTTTTTAAAATTTTCCCCTTCTGTCACAGGACTCGAGACTGCAGAGATACACAACACCTTTTTTTTTTTTTTAATTTTTCCCTTCTGTCACAGGACTCAGACCAAGGTCAACAAAAGTTGCTCACTTGTTTGTTGGAGGTTTGGGCAATGTCAAAAGAGGGCTTTGAGGCCTGCATGTAGTATTTCTCACTTGGCAACCTTGAATTTCATCCAGCATTTTAATAACCCAGTCACTCAGTCACAAGATCCTTCTGCACCTTTCCACAGGCTCATTCAGGGCTGAATGCTTTGGGTCATTTTGCATAATCAACACACCTTGCACCCTGTGCTCCACATTTTTCTGGAAGTGTTGATTGGTGGGGCAGATGGCCCCAGATGCTGGCCACTCGCATCTCTCAGCTGCAACCAGCCTTGCCACAAGTTTTCAGCCTGGCGAGGTGGTCTTCGTGTCCTTAGGCAGTTATTTGAAAGGTTTTGCCAGCCTGTTTTTCCCTAAATTCTGTTGCTTTTCATCATGGGGGGCTGAGGTGAGTGGTGAGTTACTTGCAGCACAGTTATCTGTTCATCCATTTCATGCTGGAGACCACCTGAGTCTCACATGTGGTTTGCTGCCCTTCATGTCACAGACATGTTCTCAAGTCTTGATGCTTCAGTTTTCAGTGGAGACTCCATCTCATTGCTGCTGAGGGAAATCTCCTGTCTGGCAACCCCTCAAAGCTCCTCTGACAGCAAAACATCAACTTCACTTTTTATTCTGGACTTAAGCTTCCCTAATCACTCCCACACCATCTTACAGCTTTTTGGCAGCTTTCTTATCTCCAAGATGCACTTGAAAGAGGTTTTCAGCCTTCCTTTTCTATTTGTCACAGAATATCCTTTTTTTTCCCCCCTTTACAGTTACTAAGTCTCATTTACTAGTATTTATGAGTTTTTCTTTTGTTTTCATTTGACTACAGCTTCTGCTTTTTGACAGCTGTCTTTTCAAATCTTACGCTGTGAAGTATAACCCAGCACTACTGTTCCTTCCAGGGAACACTTAATTAACTCCCTCAAGAAGATGATACTTCTGTAGTAAGGTAATTTATGGAGGTAAGTCAGCTGTCCTAGAGTAAGAGATTACATTCAGCTCAGAAGAGTAAGTAACAAATTACTTGTTTTTGCAGCACGTATACATTGTGATTGCCCAAAGGTAGGCAGCTTGGTTTTGATGAAATGTGAGCACTGCTGGAGCCTGCAGGGGTATTTGCATACCCTTAGTCATGAACCTGCATTTTGTGAATGGCATCAGTTATGAAGGAGGTTGAAACATCACCCTTTAAGATGTTTGTCTTTTGTAACTGTGTCATAAGTCTTTCAGAGACTTGTATCTCCTCTTCCTTGCCCTGGTCTTGCCAATTGCTTTGCTTAAATACTGATTTACTTTAAAAGTGGATATAGGATGTTTTAAATGTCCAAGACCTTTTTTCACTGTGCTTACACAGTTACAATATTTTGTTATGTTTTGGAGTGATTTTTCAAGTGAACTTAATTATTTTCCACATCTGCTCAAGCTGGTTTTCACTACCTGGCATCTTCCTTAATGCTGAGGTTTCATGCTGACATCTCAACGTGAAGGTGGTCTGAGGACCTTTCTTGGGGAAGTAATGCATGTGTAGTAGTCTGTGCAAATGCCAAAGAAGTATGAAAATTTATCTAAATGTTCAAAGTGATCATAAAACTAAATTTTCTGTAACACCACTGCTAGTTACCCTTAGCTGTCTTAAAAATAGAAGAATAAAACATAGAGCTTATCACCCCTAGAAATGGTCGGCTGCCCATCAGAGAAGCTGGTCTTGGGTCACCAGAGAGCTTTCCCAGGTGCATCCCTCTCCTACATGGCTCTGCACAGTGAGCCCTGGTGCCTGGCCAGCCAAGGAAGGCAGAGTCAACCCCTTAGCCAGGATCAGTGTCTTTCTGTACCTTCCCCTTGCAAGGTGCTCACAAACCAGGATGGATTCTGGCTTGTGGCTGCTGCTCTTGGAGTTGCTTTGTCCCAGCAAAGTGGCACAATCGCTTCTCACTACCTTGCTGAATGAGAGCCTCTTTATGTCTGCCTGAGCACCTGCCTTGCCTGACCAAGCATTTCTGTCTGCTTTCCATAGTAACACTGTCAGCAAACCTAGAGCTCCCCTACTTGGGGGAAAACTCCTCTCCAGAGACAGAAGGAGCTGCCACGGATCTTTCATCTTTATTTCAATGCCATCCACAGTCACATATGTCAATTTTGCAAACTGGTGGGGGAAAAAAAAATTTGCATGGGGTTTTTTAGGTCAGGGTTGCAGTTCTCAGACAGGCTGGTCACTGAGCTAGTTTTTCCATCTGTCCAGAGGGGCCTTGCTGTAGTGCCATCTGTAGGCACAGTGTCTGGATGCAAAAGAAGGATTTGGAAGAGTTGTGCATTTTAGGGAGGTAATATTAGAGAGAGGAAACCAAGGCCTCCAGGCAGTCCAAAAGCTGCATGACTAGTTTGCCACACTCACTCTCCCTGTTTCCATACAAGACCAACCATGTTTTGAATGCTGTGATTCCTGGCTTTCCTCGCCTCAATACCATATAATTTTTCTAGGAGAGATGAGATCGTAAACCAGTTGAAATGGTATTTGAAAACAGAGTGAAACTTTTTCAAGAGATTCCCAGCTGTTGGTCTGAGAGCACATACTCTTCCTCCACCCTGAGGCTGTATGACTTTGCTCATTCTCAGAGCAATTTGATCTCGAGTTGGATAGGGTTCATGCTTGTTAAATAACAAGAATTCTTTGCTCTAGAATTTTCAGGTAGTCTTATCTCGTTTAGGAAACATAAAGCTTTTTAAGAGAAAGATTTGACTCACATAAATGTTCCAGCTTTTAACCTAGTTCAAAATATGTTTTACATGGGAAAACAGGACCTCTATCCTCCCCCCCTTTAGATGTTTCAGTAGCCTCTCTGCACTTCCAGATTCTCAAGCAAGGTGCTGACTGGCACACACACAATGTGCATGCAGCAGCACAGCCATTCAAACCATCCGAGCACAGCAATCAAGGACAGGATGGGACCAACCCAAGACTCATTTGTAATCCTGACAGGTCTCCAGGCTACACAGCCGATTCTCAAGCAAGGTGCTGACTGGCACACACACAATGTGCACGCAGCAGCACAGCCATTCAAAGCATCCGAGCACAGCAATCAAGGAGAGGATGGGACCAACCCATCCCCAACTCATTTGTAATCTTGACAGGTCTCCAGGCTACACAGCGCCCCCAGCAGAAACCCAGCTCCATGGGAGGGCTGCCTCCAGTGAGCTCCAGCACCAGGCAGCTCCCATTTGACACCATTTACCTAAAGCTCCAATGACGGAGCCATTTGTGGTGCAATCCAAGTATTTCTGCTGTCCCAGGGCTAACAAGCTGCTCAGAATCCCAGTTCCTATCCAGAGGCAGGTTATTTAACCTCTTCTCTTTGCAAAATAACTTTTGAGTCATCGCCCTCTAGTCCAGCAAACATTTAATTCTTACGCAGCCCAGCTGCTGGAGATAAGCGGCTCTGGGAAACTGTGTCCGGCATACCTTGATCCTGGGAATTTAAATCCTCCAGCTTACGTCCTTGCAGCATCCAGATCAGGGTCTAAAGCAGTTGGGGTCCGGACAACAGCTCCAACCGTGCCTGCCAGGGAAAGAGCACATCAGCCCTGAGATGCTAAATTAAGCTGCTAAAAATGGAGGTCCACGTGATTGTGTGCAGTGCGCTGCTTATCTGTCCTGGTGCTCACAGGTCATGGAAGGCTCCCTTGCTGCCCAGTGGCATTCATGCTTCCAGAACTAATGCAGGGAGGCAGAGGGCTGACACTCACCTTGCAGAGATTTGCTGCTCAGCAGCTTAACTGCAACTGCCCCTCCTTACGCACAGAATTAAGCCAGAATTAAGACTGGCCACCACCATGCCAGCGATGGCCTCCAACACGTCCCTAGGCAGCCATTTCCTCCGGGGCTAAGCCAATTCATTTTAAAAGGTAAAAGCAAGTGAAATACCCGCCTTGTAACACCAGGAAATATCTCCCTTGTCCCCTGCAGAGGCAGGGGAAGGAGAATCAGTTTCTTGTGCCCCTTTACCAAACCAAATCCAGGAGTCATCTGCTCAGCACTTCTATTCTGCATGCGCCCATCAGACAAGCAAATCCAGAGCGAGGTGGCTGGAGCCACAGAGGCGCTTGCCATCGTACCACACCTGCTGTGGGGCACAGCCCTGCACCACACCTTGTTTTGGCTCAGGGGCTGGACTCTGGGCTCTCCCACGTGGAACAAGCAGCTCAGCAGGCTGCACTCCCCAGCTTGCTTCTCACTGCAGCTGGCACAGACTGTGCCATGCAGGCGCCTGCAGCTGCTCATTGCATACATGCCCCCTCCTCCCATCTCGCCCTGACAGACAGACAAGGCTTTTCAGATGGTGATCACTTTTATTGATGTAAGGTGGTACACAAACAGATCAGTTTCTATCAGCCTCTCCACCTCCCCCAGGCTCGGGGAGAAGTTGGAGGAGTGGGGGAGACAAGGGAACAGAACTGGCCTCTCACTGCAGGATGCAGAGCTAAGCGGTGGTGAACAAGGGCAGGGGCTCCAACAAAGGAGAGTCCTGCTTCCCTAGGCAGCAGGGGGGACTGTGTGCTCAGCTTACTCCTTGGATGCCATGTGGACCATCAAGTCCACAACACGGTTGCTGTATCCATATTCATTATCATACCTGGGGACAGAAAACAAGCGTGTCAGGGCTGACCCATTTCTTGCACCCCCTTCTTCCATTCTTCCTGCTTCTCTGCCCCATCCCACACAACTGAACTCCCATCTACCCTCTGGGGGCAAGGAGGCAGCTATGCTAATTTCAGGTAAGAAGCAATCTCACTCCACCGTGAGACTGGAGCTCTGTGTATCCACCTGGATCACCAGTGGTAACCAACAGGACACCCAAGTCTGTAACCTGCCTGTGCCAGTCCCCCAGGGCTGCACCTACCAGGAAACCAGCTTGACAAAATGGTCGTTCAGCGCAATGCCAGCGCCCGCATCAAAGGTGGAGGAATGGCTATCACCATTGAAGTCACAGGAGACAACCTGAAACACAAGGAATTGTCGTGCATATGGCTGCCCAGCATCTCTACTCCAAGTGCCCAAATCAGGATCCTGCTGACAACAGCCTTTCAGAGAAATGAGGCAAGAGCCAAGAACCACTGGGCTGAGAGAGCAGGCATTCCTCACCTGGTCCTCTGTGTATGCCAGGATGCCCTTCAGGGGCCCATCAGCAGCAGCCTTCACTACCCTCTTGATGTCATCGTACTTGGCCTGAGGACAGACAGATCCAAGATGATCAGATCCTGACACAAAATGTCCACTGGGGACAGGGGAGGGAGGAGGCACACATGGGAACACCCCAGCAGGTCTCTTTGCACAAAGATCACATCTTCAGGACAAGATGGATGCAGAGAGGGCAATTCCAGGTGCAATACAGAGCTTAGAGGAAGCAGGGGCACATCTGGAAGCTGTTAGGACCTCATCCACAACACTTACTGGCTTTTCCAGACGGCAGGTCAGGTCCACAACAGACACGTTAGGGGTTGGCACACGGAAAGCCATTCCAGTAAGTTTCCTGTGAGAGACATGAGTCAGTAAGGGACAGCAGCTGGCACTCCTCTGCCAGCCTAGGAATGTTTGGCCTCCTCCTGACAACTGAGAAGGGGCAACACTCACCCATTGAGCTCAGGAATGACTTTTCCCACAGCCTTAGCAGCTCCAGTAGATGCTGGGATAATGTTCTGAGCAGCACCTCTGCCATCCCTCCAGAGCTTTCCAGAGGGCCCATCCACTGTCTTCTGTGTGGCTGTGATGGCATGGACAGTGGTCTGAAGAAAGAGCACAGCAATAAGGACACAGCCAATTCTCTCCAGAAAGAGCATCCCAGGTGACACAGGGAGTACAGGTGCTTTCCCTCTCACACGAGGGGATCTGTGGTAGGTCACCCTCCTCAGCACCAAGCTGCACACCTACCATGAGACCCTCCACAATGCCAAAGTTGTCATGGATGACCTTGGCCAAGGGCGCCAGGCAGTTAGTAGTGCAGGAAGCATTGCTGGGGTAGAGAGATAAAGGCACATCAGCCAGAGGCAACACTTCCACTGGGGTGAAGTGAGACCCCTGGCAGCTGGTGAGAGCTCCAGGCCAGAAAGGAAGCTCCTCTCTCCTTACCTGACGATTTTCAGAGACTTGTCATACTTCTCATGGTTGACACCCATCACGAACATGGGAGCATCAGCAGAGGGGGCAGAGATGATCACACGCTTGGCACCACCCTTCAGGTGAGCCTGGAGAGAGAGATAAGAGATTACATAACTCAGGATCCTTCTGAGCTTGCTTCTTCAGACCTCTTGTCCTTCACAGCCCTGTACATGGTGGCTGCCCGACAGGTAGGAAGCAGCACTATCCTCTCTCTCCTGTGCCTCTGTGGCATACTCACCCCGGCCTTCTCCATGGTGGTGAAGACACCAGTAGACTCCACAACATATTCAGCACCAGCATCTGCCCACTTGATGTTGCTGGGGTCACGCCTAAGGAGGGACAAAATTTTACAAGCTGCTCCATGAGACACCTGCTTTCAACCTCCACAGGGGCAATTGGGAAAGAGATACTTACTCCTGGAAGATGGTGATAGCATTCCCATTGATGACAAGTTTCCCATTCTCAGCCTTGACAGTGCCCCGGAAGTGGCCATGAGTAGAGTCATATTTGAACATGTAAACCTAATAAAGAGAGGGGGAGTGGAAGGTCAGGCACCCAGGCTGCCATCATCCTCTAACACCCTGGGAAATTACCAGAACAGATCCAGAGGAGCCCTACTCAGAAAGGCCCAGAGGGGGCACTGCAAAGCAACTCACCATATAGTTCAGATCGATGAAGGGATCGTTGATGGCCACCACTTGGACTTTGCCAGAGAGGACGGCAGCCCGGGTAACCAGGCGGCCGATACGGCCAAATCTGGAGAGAAAAAGACATGGGTGAGGAGGTGCAACAGAGAACCAGCCCAGCTGGGCACGGGAGGCAGTCCTTGGCAGCGTTCCCTCGGGATCATCCGCTGCTCCCTGCCCAGTAGGGCGGGAGGGAGCCCTGCAGCTCGTCCAAAGGCCAAGGCACCCCGGTTAAAGATTAAGAGCGACCCCCGCCCCAGAAAGGTCAATCGCTAAATTTACTGAGAGCCCCGGGGATCCGGTTACTCCTCGGCCCGGCACGAGAAGGTCACATCCCCGGTGCCGCCATCGACACACGATCCACCGAGAGACCTTTTGGTGGGGGGCTACAGGGATCCCCGGGAAGGGAGAGGGAAATTGGGGCAGCCGAGCAACGGCAGCCCCTTCCGGAGTGAGTCACCCCGAACCCGAGGAGAAGTGAGTCAGCAGCACCGCTCTCTGCCCCGGGGGGCGCCGGCGGAGCGGGACCGGCGGGATTCAACCTCTCCCTCCCCCCAAATCTTCTCCCCGCGCCCTTCAGGCGACCTTGCCGGCCCCCCCCCAACCCCTCCCCAAATCCCTGGTGGTCCCGTCGGCCCCGGCACTCACCCATTGACTCCGACTTTCACCATCTTTACCGCTTCGGGATGTTCCTGCGGGCAGAAACCACCGGTAGGGGCATGAGGGGAACCGCCAACAACCACCCTGGGCAGCGGCGCCCGCGCCCGGCGCCGTTAACGCCTCGCCCGCGCCGAGGGGCGAGCGGGCACTGCGGTGGGGGGGGACGGGGAGAGCGGGCAAGCGGGGGCCCGCGCTCCCAGCCAGCCCCATCACGCCGCCCCCGCCATTTTGCGCGGCGCCGCCGCCTTTGTGCCCGTGGGCCCCGCCGCCACGCGGCCCCGCTCCGCCCGGGGGCTGCCGCACGCCCTGCCGGTGGGCGGTGCGCGCGTGTGGGCAGAGGGCTCCCGCACGCCCACCCCCCGCCGCCGCTCTCCCCCCGCGCATCGCCCCCGTTACCTGCTGCCTCCGAACCGCCCGGCGCGCAGTGAGAAGGTGGCGCAGCGCCTCTCCGCCGCCCTTTATAGCCGCGTGAGGGTAGGGCGGGGGCCCGCCCCGCCGCGACGCCGTCGAATGGCAGCGCGGGGGCCGGACCGGGCTACGTGCGCCCGTGCTGCGGGTGCGGCAGCTGAAGACCCCCCCTGTTTCCCCCGCCCCGCCGCCCCCCGTTAACAAAGGCCCCGCTCTGGAAACGCAGGGTCCGTAGCGATCACCCTCCCGTCGAGCCACCCCAAGGGGGTTGGCGGTGCTGGTGGTGAAAAATGCACCGGTCCTTGCGGGGAGGTGTCCCCAGAGCGGGGATGGGCGGCTGCAGCCCTGCCAGAGGAGGCAGGGAGGGTGATAGCCGGTCAGGGGCTGCTGCCGCCGGGCTTGCTGCTGCTCCGGAGGATGGTATGCGCTGCTTTCACCTGATAACGAAGGCCAGGTAGACACCCGCCCCGGCTGCAGCCTGTGCCCAATTGGATGGAGTAGTATCCAGTATCCGAAGGGACCTACAGGGAAGCCGGAGAGGGACTGGTCGTCAGGAGCTATAGTGATGGGAAAAGGAGTAATGGGTATAAATTGAAAGGGAGGAAATTTAGGATGGGTATTAGGAAGAAGTTCTTTACTGTGAGGGCGATGAGGTACTGTAACACGTTGCCCAGGGAGGCTGTGGATGCCCCAACCATGGCAGTGTTCCAAGCCAGGCTGGATAAGGCCTTGAGCAACCTGCTCTAGTGGGAGGCGTCCGTGCACGTGGCACGGGGGTTGGAACTGGATAATCTTTAAGGTCCATTCCAACCCCTAACATTCCATGAGATTCTATGGCTGCAAGGGGAAAGGGACTGCAGGGATGCTCGGGTCACCCCGAGGGAGCAGCGGATCCCCATTGCCCCCGGCACTGTCGGGAGGTACTGTCTGGGAGTTCTCCCGCCTCCAGGCTGGCCTCCCCCCCCCGCCTGGGTGGGTTTATCCAGGCGTGCTCCGGACGGGGCCCCTGGCCGGGCGCTGCCCCAGCAGGCCACGGGCGGCAGCGTGAGCCCCATC